AGGTGGAGTCCTAAGTCAACAACCTTGTTGAGGGCTTTACCAATACGGTCTCTTAAATGCGATCGCTATTCGTTTACTTAGTACCTACTCTCATTACAATTTTGACCCTTTCATGTATAATTTAGTTTTATATATTTAAAGTCATTGGCCGTTAAAATAATGCTCAGTAGGCAGCTTCAATGAGGCATAATCAGGAATGTTATACAGTGATTACACGTAAATGGATTAGAATAGGAGGTAATTTTAACAGAAGTATTAAAGAGTAAAGATTTAAAGATTTATTACTATCTTAAATAACATCAATAAAAAATAGTTTTATTATACCTAATATCAAACGACTAAAACTCGCCTACATCGGCATGTTTTAGAAACTAAAAATCTGAGCTTACAACTGTAAGAAAACTTTAGTAGGTTACTCGAAACTAGGCCAGTGTCCTTCGTCTCTAATGACGTCCCAGCTTTCCAAGGGCTATAGAAAGCTTACCTGTAACGCCTCATATTGAAATAAAAGAGAAAATAAATGGTACGAATGCAATAGCCGTTTTAATAGTTACATAAATATATACATGGGTTAAGCCTAAAGCCTAAGTATATCCGTACTCAATCACACCGGGCTTAGAGCGGGTAACATTATCGGGCGACCAAATGATGGGTGTTTTTAGGTCATTTATAAGGCTTCCAAAATGTTTTCGGTGTCGTAAATCACAAGGGTATTACAATACATACTTTAAACGACTGCGACGATTTTTTACAAGAAAATGTGTTTGGTCTACACCGATACATATAACATAAAGTTATCATAAGAATAATTTTTCTTCTGTAACTAGAATGTAATTAATATTACAGCACAGTCCACACGAACTTGTAATTATAAAAACATGGCTACTCAAGCGTTAGGTGTCGTATTAAGAGATGGCTCACAAGTAGCAAGGTTACGCAACTAGACGTAAAATCGAAAGTATGCTCGTGCGCCGACTGCTAACAAACCTCGACATGTATGGACATAGATCACACGTTAAGCAAAAACGAGTTCAAATGAGAATGAGTAAATATTGATTAATAATAAATGAACATATTCTTTATGTTTCGAAACCATACGTTTTGTATACTGAAATGAAATTCGTAAGAAATAATTAAAAACGGAACGGGACAAGGTACTTGTTCTTAATATATAAGAACTTGCAGGCAGCAGCTATCAAAGATAATAATAAAAACACACCTATTGATGCTATGTCCATTCGGGTTATTTGAAATTGTATTGTTTCGCTTATATAAATGACTTTTAATGAAGTCTGGTGATAAAAACTGTATGTCCAACATTACTGTTAGATACAATAGCTTAATTTTAATTGTAAGTTCGACTAACTTATATTCGAGAGAATCATGAGTTATTAGTTATGGTTTTAAAGACAATTAATTGGCTGTCTTAAACTTTCAACAATCCTAAAATATTGTTTGTTTAGCATGACAGCAACAATAATTTTGAAAACGTGTTTTAACTAATTGAATATGTAATCATCTATCTAGGTATAATATAATTAAATTAGCCAAATGGAATTTGCGTGGCGTTTATTTAAAGCATTACTATATCAATAATATTTCTAATGTCGCATACTTTTAATAAAATATAATAAAACTATTTAGTGTGTTTAATTCACAAATTTCGGTAGAAAGACCGGCGACCTGACTCCAAAATACTTCGCTTTGTACTTTGAAAGTGAGTAAAATAATTTTTTATTTTTTTTATTGTAATACTAACGTTTTCTTGTTTTTACTTATTAAGATTAGATTAAGATTATCATTTTATAAGTATGTATTGCATTTAATCATATTGTAAAAACTTAATTAGAAGCAAACATACGAGTCACGTTTGATATAGAGGCATCCGGGGTCTTAAGCAGCCCGCGTGCCGCAGCGGCCGCCACTGGTATATAATTGATAAGAATATGTTTTTTTTTTCAAATCTATATAAAAATCACGCAAATTCACTTTCGCATTGAGTTAAATTATTTTAAGTAATTAATTTAACGAAAATGTAAGTCATCTGATCCCCCTTGTTTTTGAGCAGATATCTTCGAAGGTAAGGGTCGCGGAATTCTGAATAGTCCTGCAGAATTGTCATCTAGTAGCGTTTTAGTGAATGCGGTATAGACACGTCTTACAATCATTACAATTCTTTGTTTTTATGCTAATAAAGTTATATTTGTTCAATTCAATCCAACTATACGGATATTTACACGTTATTTAGCGTTGTCTCTAAGCAAATATCACACAATCAACTGGTAAACTTGATAAGAGACATACTACCTACTTAATAAATGATTATTGCATTGATAACACATATCGCAGAAGAGAAGTGTTATCGAGTAATATCAAGTTTGCCTACAATTTACTCAGTATAGGAAGGATGATCATTTAAGAAGTGATAATGCTAAACATGCTTTTGGAAAAAAAATATGTCAGATTGTCCAAACATAAGACATAATAAAAGTAAAGAAAAGCAATGAAATTGTCATTATTTTTTTTATAAAGTAAAGGACATTTATTGAAATTAAATTAATAATTGACAATTATTGAATACACCTTTTATTTAACAGCTTTTAAAGTATTTCATTTTAAGTTTTCTTTATTTCAGGAGTATATGCGTAGATAGGACTAGCTAAGCATGTCAAAATGACATATTATTATATGAATTTTACATTTTAATAAACTTTTGGTCATATCTCTTGCGGTAAATATGTATTTACGATTTGATCACCTATTTGTTTCGACTGTAAATAACGCTTATTATATAAACAATAATTATATTGCTTCAAAGAGTTCAACCGATGACGTAACCACCATTCCTGTACCTGTTTTGAGGTGCAACAATGCGCAAACTGTGAATCGGCCAAATATCGTAGCAAGCTAATCGTAAAGAAATCGCTCTAACTTACGGTAGACGTACGTAGATAAATTGCAGGACTAGCTTTTATTTTTTACGTTCATCTCTGGAAACACTTACATTAAGGAAACAATATTTATTTCTAAAATGTTTATAATAAAAAATTAGGACGGAGGTTTTTAAGACGATATACTGAATTTCAAAAAGAATAGAAATATTATTCTAATAAAGAATTACTCTTATTTACGGAATCCAACCTCAAATTGGTCCCACGTGTAAGCGCGGCTGAATTATTTATAATAACATCTTTCTAATTTTGTGTATTACAAAAAATTAAATTATTTCCTGACTACTGGATGGTAAGTAACAGTACTAGTAAACTGACCCTGTGTTGAGCACGTGCAAGTAGTAACAAAATAAAATACAAGCTAACCCTTCGTGATATCGCCTCATTTAATTTTAACTAGTAATTACGTTTTAGCCGTGTAATTGTGATTACGATAAAATTACATAATAACGAAATTACAATGCGTTAAATAGTTAAGAATGCTGCTTATAAATAAGGCTTTGGATTTCTTATATAGTTATTAAATTTTATGGTCTGGTGACAAATTACTCATAAGGTACTAATAAAACATTAGTATAGCAACATATCTAACCAGCTTTTAAAGTTTAAGTTAAAAAAGTCACAAATGCGCGCCTCTGAGAACGGTTATAGAGTCAGTTCTTTAAAACGAACAAACCAGGAAGCGATTACGTTATCTAATACTTGAAATAAGCTTTTTGTGAATTTAAAAGACCTTGATTTCTAGGTTCTGCGCTTATCGCAAACTCCGCGTTCTTCGCAAAGAGGTCGTGTCCCAATTTTTAAAACAACGAGACTTATGGTACGTCGAAAATATATTTTCTGTTAAGTATAGTGATTTAAAATGCACAATAGCACAAATGCACTACGCTATTTATTTCTGCGTAGTTTTGTGATGAAAAGTTTATTGTTTTCGTAATTCAGCAAAAACATTGTAGAACCTCTCGGCAACCCTTACAGCGTAAAGGCTCTCTAGTACAACCTAAACCACTTTTCGAGAATAGGAAAAACGAATTAGGAACAAAAGACGAAAACAATCACTAAAATCCCTCAGTTTGGAATGTAAACAGACATGTTGCAACACAAAATTGATCAACCTTAGAATTATTCATAAAAAACTACCAACTCTATGCCACTGATTATTTAACATAATTTATGCTAAACAACCTTGTTGGTTATTTAACATTATTTTAAATCATAACATTAGATTATAACTTAATACAGTGAAAAACTCTCTATGTAAAACAACAACTAAAATCCTTCTAAAAGTATTATTTAAAAATTTCATCACTATAACTTCTCCTTTACACACAAAACTTAGTCTAATAAATGATCTAATTAATTTTGTAAATGATAAATGGTTGTGCCAATCTAGAACCTAAATACTGAGTGAAATAAAATAAAACTCAAATGAATAGTAGCAAAAAATGTTAATCTTTTTAAGTTAGTTCAAAGAAGCAAATAAAGCAATCAGATGGGAAATAAAATTTCAAGAAGAGTTTTGCAATGTTTGAGAACTGTGATGATCACACCTAGGATGTACGACTAAGCCATGACAGTGAGGACAGGCTCACATTGACCAGGTGTACAATGGGCTTTGATGGCAACACTGATAGCTCTCTGCTGTAGCTCACCACACTTGATTCCACTCCGTTTGGTGATTGTTATATGCAATTGAGTTAAATTAGGTCATGAACTCAAAATCATTATATAATACTATACACTTGTAAAGGCTGGAGCAAAATAGGCTTCTTTACCAATTCATTATATAATATTTTACATTGTATTACTTCTCCTACACATACATATAAGTTTATAATATAATGACAAGGAAATTTTTATAATTGTATTTGTATATGGAAATAAATTTATACTATTTTACACATTCACTTAATACTCAAGGTTGCTGAATTAGATGTGTCCCAGTGGATTTGTAAAGAAATCTTAACCAACTTTATTTTTTTTCTCTCTAAGTAATAGGCATTAGAGAATCCTAACTACTGGATGGTATATGTGGTTGGGTTTAGTATCTCAGCTGATGGCCAGAGGGCTGTGCGTGACTGGTGAGCTGCAGATGAACATGAGCGTGGCATGCACGCCACCAACAACCAAAAAGCCAATGACAACAAAATACTCAGACGACTCACCAAAATGAGACGTAATATTGCCGTGGCCATTAGCCAGGGGCAATGCCGTCACCAAGTCTTGAACTAAAAAACAACGACCGTCTTTTAACATATCATTTAGTACAAACAGTTTCAGGTGTAAATTAATTTATATTTTTTACGAAGAGTTCGCGTTAATCATTTGCAATTCCTGAACTAAAAGAAAAACATCCAGTTTACATATTTTAACAACTTTTAAGTCACATTAATTATTGTTATCATTAAATAGGTCAAACTGATAAGAGCTACATTCTGATAAGAATCTTGTTGGCTATAGCTACTACGGTAGAGTTGAGACTGTCAATGTTAATTGGTGTGTAGGAAATAAGCAAAACTCACCCGAACTGAAGTGAGACCTTTTGATGTCACCATTTTCTGAGTCGCCGTCCAGTGGTCGTTTTCTGGAGTCCGAAATCTCCGGACTTGGACAAGTATCCATCCCCGTGTCAGCGGCCATGTTGAATTTCAGGGCAAAACTATTAACTTCTCTAGCATATTAATTCCCATTACGTAATTCCTTCAGAATGCGTTAATGGTTACGACACTGTACATAATTATTAAATCATCGAATACACATAACACTTTTACTAATAAAACTAGAGAATCGAAGCCAAACAGTCTAGTTACTAAAATATAGCAGTGAAGTGACACTTGATATTACGTCCAATTGTAATGTGAACGTTTGTCGATACTGCGCTGCAGTGTTTCATGTTGTGCGGCGCATGGTCAATGTGAACTTATCTGCAGATGTCAGATTATTGTACTGCCACGTTGGCAGTACTGTGTTTTGACAAGCCCCAGCTGATTCTCGTAGTGATGCGCTACTTCTGGTGTACTCGAAGACCTAATTAGTTTATGTATTGATGTAAACAAGAAAATGTTTAAAACAAGTATTACATTTATTTTTACTTAATTCGTCTGGGGCCAATTTCATTTGGAGTTTGGACATACATATATCTCACACACGTCGAAATGTTAAGCACCTCCGTTGGTTGTTTTTATTGTTAGATAAAATTAACTATACATATCTCAATATTACAGGAAACCTTAGGTACATCACTAGAACACAATAAGAAATAGGTACAAGGTCATATTTTTTGAACCAATCAGTTAGCAGTTTTATAGTTGCTGCTAACTTCCGGTTGATTCTATCTCTTTTCACATAATGGATATTTTTTCTTGTACCTACATAGTACATACGTTTGTAATTTGTACTAATCAACTTTTGTACTTTGTAGTTAGTTTCGTAAATATTAAGGAAAACACAACCTCTCTAAACACGAGAGGTACTAAATGAACTTTACTTTTGAACCAAATATTCGTTCAGGTTTTTAAATTTTTTATTAAACATATTTAAACTCGTAACAAGTGATGATGAAGATGAAAATACTCTCAAAAAGAACAAGGCTTTTATTTTATGTAGACAACGAAATATACAGTAAAAAATAAAACAAATCATTATTTCAGTATAAACTTTCATAAGTATGAGTTAAGTTACCTTATAAAATGAAAGTGAATAATATTATTTAAAGATTTTGACAGAATAATAAGAAGCAAAAACTAAGCAAAGATTATGAATATGACTTTTGGTCAACAGCTATAATATGCATACTGTTATTAAAACAAGTAAACCGATAAGTTTAAATGTTGGTTTTGCTAATAACTAGTTATTTAAAAAGTTGTAAATTTACAGTAACAATAAAACATCGATGTAATTATAAACATTTATTATAAAACAGTACCAACATTCAAACTTATAATTAATAATGATTGATGTAACCTGAAATTTTCAGTCTTAAATATGCTCATGTTTGAAACACTAACGGGTGGATCATTATTATTGGTATGAAATAATTGATTGAAATATAGGTCTAGCTATTAGGCTGGCAAAGTGTCTGTTATAACAGAGTTGTGTTTGTGTTACTTTCAAGGAAACCTACATCAATCAGCTAACTAGTTATTGTATGTTATGTGGCCTGAGTGACAACAGATGGAGGTATGAGATGGTAAGTGAGCCACCACGAGAGAAGTGGCTGAGTGATAGCTACAAATAGCAGAAAATATACTCTGCGCTTTGTCCCACCCCCACCGCTAGACTTAGACCAGTTATCTGTATAGGGGTTGGCTGGATTGTATGTTGAGTAATTGTAGCTAGTATCAGGTGCTGGTGATCCAGAAAGAATTTGTAGCCTCAGTGTTTTAACCTGAAAATTATAAATACAACCTATTCAATATGATTATGCATATGTTATCTTAGGAATATAAAACATACATTTTAATGTCAAATTTGTAACAAATTGTATAGATAGGTATTTATAAAAATGCAAAAATACAGTGGCTATAGTAAGTGTCTGTTTTCTAAGCCACAGTTAAAAATAGTGTGCAATATGTAAGATCTAATAAAACATAGGCAATTAGTAAAACAGCATATCACACAAGTCTTTTTTAAAGGCCAGGAACACTTGTGAGTCCTTTTACAGTGCACAAGATACCATAATATCAAGACCAAGTAAATAGAATACTTATAGTGAGTTTGAATTGTGAAATCGATGCTGTCTAACACTTCTGTACAAGATAAATAACTATTTCAAAATCTTCCCCAAGCAAAGTACACCTATACAGAAACACTGAATCATAGTCTGAATATTTGCAAATATTTACAACATTAGCCTTTTGGCATTCAACAAAAGAACCAGGAATTGGTGATATTATCAAGGTAAGTTCATTAACAAATGATCCAACCTAGTATGGTCAGATAAAATTATTTTAATTAACTTACAAGGAAATAAGACAGTGCTGTACTATAATAAAGTAAGGCACAATAATAGACTGTTCCACCCAGTAGCAAACCAGCCAGCAGACTGCAAATCATTGTGCTGTACTTATACCCGGAGTATGCCAGTAAATCCAGGGTTTTCAGCTGAGTGCTGGTATTTGTGATGTATAATGTTGCTAAATATAACACCATTTCAAAAATTATGTATGCTAGTGCACTAGATGCTTGAATTGATATTTGTTCAGGTGAGAAGCGGTGTTGGAGACCTGAAAGAAGCAACAATAATACTTTTGAAATAATGTATAAGAACAAGAAAAAAATATAACCACAGCATTGTAATTGGCCTATAATGGTATATATATATATATATACACATCTTTTTTCTGTATTGTGCTGTGAATCTTCTGAATAAATAAATAAATAAATTTCTAGGTGATAGTTGGTATTTTAAAAATAATAAATCACTGGTATCTTATATACAAAAGAAGGGCTTGTAAAAAGAGTTAATTATTGTAATTTGGTAATATACTATATATATGTCTCATAGTTTACATGTCATTTAGAAGGAATTGAAATGTAAAAGTGAGAGCATCTAAATTGTTCTAATTAATAGTTACCTAACATAAATCCTGCAAGGAGAACATAAGTGACATAGCCCATAGATGGTATGTACAGATCTGGTGCATTTATATCATAACGTGGTTGCACTGGCGTTTCTTGATCATATTTCATCATCCATTCCTATAACAAACTTTCATAAATATTGTATCATGTTATTTAAAATACACAGTATAATATGCAAAACATAATAAGACAAAGAAAAGCTCCACTTTTTTCAAATTATTATTAGTTATGGTTTACATAATATACTCATGAAAACAGTAGAACTAACCTTATGTGTAAACGGAAATACAATAAGAAGAAGTTTTTTCAAAACATATCTGGTGTCTACAGCAAAGTAGTATCTTAATCTAGACACTGGCACATATTTATCAAGCTCTCGCTTAACCACCTCACGTCCCTGTGCTGCTAGTTGATTGCCATACTGCAGTGCCATATCCTAAAATGATGAAATGTGTTTATTATCTAGTATGTAAAAACATTGACTATCAAAAACATTTATACTTTCCAATAAAAATTAAAATAGTTATAAAAATGAAATGTTGTTAAGTAAGATAAAAGTTTGTTTCTTCCCGATTTTTTAATTTCTTCTGTTACCTAGGTCATTCGAATTTTAAAAGTATATAAAATGCTACAATAATCAAATCATTAATATATTCCGAAGTAGCATAATAAGGTGGTTAAGACTTAAGCTATGGTGTTATCTTATGGGGAGGCAGTGTAGATGCTACTGCCGTATTTACAAGCCAAAAAAACTTTTGAGAATTCTAGTTAATATAGGAAATACTGACACATGCAAGCCCCACTTCATTCGGAACAATATCCTTACTCTACCTGGCATATATATACTGGAAGCATGTAAATTTATTCGCAAATATCCTAATATGCATAAAAAAAAGGGAAGATACAAAAACCCTTTTCTCATTAAGACCTTCTCGTAAAAACCAACTGATTCCACCTACATCTAGACTAAAGTTACATCAATCAGGACCATTGACCTCCTCCATAAAAATATATAACAAATTACCAGAAAATTTGAAGAATGAAACAAATAACCTGAGGTTTACCAAATTTCTAAAGGAATTATTACATAAAAAATGTTATTACACTGTTACAGAGTAATTGACTGATCGATTTTAATTTCTTTATAAAAGTTAAGTTTATAAATAATGTTAAGTACCTTTTCGCAACGTGAAACCAAAGTAAATATACCAAATAAATAATGTATCTTATAAGAATAGGAATGTATAAGAATATAATGAACTATAATAAAGCATGCCCTCTCACAACTGTGCCTAGCCAAGGTCCTTAATCATTATTGTAATAAATTATGTACATAAGGAATGCCATAAAGATTTGAGTTTAAGTAAGTTATATAAACAAAATATTGGTTCATAATTAATTACTGAATCTAACAAATAAAGTATGCTATACACATGAATATCAGTAGACTCCACAGTTGGTTTTAACAATGATTTCCAATTAAACTGCTGAAATTAACTTAACTTTTTTAATCTTCTTAATCAATCAAAAGGACATTAGCTACTTCTTATTACAGATACATACCACACAACTCCTTTAAGCTAGTTTTTTTAAGATAAGAAAATAATGTCACCAGTGACAGCTAATATATAATTAAGTATCATCAGTAATAAAAATAAACAAAACACACACCTGAACTACTGGCTGCTGAAGCATAGACCCAATTTGATTGGGGGATGCCATAGGAGTGTTAGTGAAAGTACCTGGATAACTAAAGCCTAAAAAATAAATACTAATTAGTTTAATTATTTCAATTTACATAGAAATATTTGAGTAAAAATCTGATCATATCAATCTCTTTTGAAAACATACAAATCATTTTGTAGGGATAGACAACATTACACGTAAATTTAAAAATATTTACTTCCAGCAGGATCTCGCTGTCCAAAGTTTGGTGTTTGATCCATATGGATCCCTTGTTGATAGGGTGGTGGAGGTCCTACAGGAGGAAACCCGCTGCTGATCCCGGGACTAGGACTAAATGGAGGAGCCGGCGTAGGTGCACCCATTGCAGACACATCGCTTACTCTCTTTGCCTTCCGGGGTCCAGGATGGCCTACTAGAAATCGATCAACCGTTGAGATCACTACATATTTATCCCTATGTAATGTGTAGTTCGATACGAAATACAATATGTATTAATCAAGTAATGTACTTGATTTGTGTAAAAAACCACTAATATCAGCAGAATTAGCCTACCATTTCTTGAAGCGTTAAAGTTCATAGTTATAATATTATTGAGTTAATTGTTATCAAGACATAGTAATGATGTACTCTATAAGGCTATTTTATTTATGTTTAAACTAAAACTTGACGAATTACGAAATTAACAATCACACATCATCAGACGACAGCAGCAATTAGCACAGACTAGTGAGTAGTGAGTACAGTCTACAACTCATCTGTATTTTGTCATCTGTTGTGACTTGTGATTACTAATTACCCACTTATTACATTGACGCAAACAGATTTTACATATTTTTCTTGCTAGATAGCTCTACCTCATGTATACCGAGAAAGGAGGGAACTCAGGGGGCTTAGTGAAAATGCCTGAAGAGTAGTGTATGTAGAAAGTCGAAATCTTAATTTGTATGAAAATGACAGTGCGTGTTGAAAATTTTCAATCAAATTTAGTTGTCTAAGCCCCCAGTGTACTTCAACACAGAATAGGTGTCTGACATTGATTAGTGACAGTATACGATAGGTGTAATTACTAATTAAGCATTTTTGTTGGTTTATAATTTATACCTATTTAATACTTCAATCCTAAGTTCTAATAGTACTTAATCCGTGTAGTGTGTTTATATTTTATAAAACTCGGCCTATGTATCTAATGTAGAGTAGATTAACCCTTAAATGGACGATTTTTTTTTTACGTTTTAAAAAAATATATTTGTGTAATAGACATGTATTACTGTCTAGGAAAAATGAGTAAAAAAATCTAGACATGAATTTACTATTTTTTTTTTGCAATAATGTGAGTGTTGTTTATAAACTACATTGCGCATTCAATGACATTTTGCAAGTATGGGTAAAATAAGAGTGGATATTGTTTTTGAAATGTGTTTATTTATTCTAAATTATGATATTTATAAAAACAATTGCTTTTTTTCGTATCACATAAAGATACACGACATTTTTGGCACATTTTGAACGTAAATCCTGAACATTTCGGGAATTTGCACCTCTGCTGCTTATCCAGCCAAACTGCCCAATGACATGTCTGATCCAATCTGACGTCTTTCAAAGGAATTGCTTGAGCTGGTCCTCGGAACTTCTTCATTACAAGTTCTCTTTGTATTGTGCTCCCACTAGGTCGACCACGTTTAGCGCCATTTGCAGGTAGACCCAATTTGCAGAGGGTTTCGGCAAGTTCTAGTCTAAATGTACCCAAATTGAGAAGTTGATCATTTCCTTTTATATTATTTACCTTCTTGAACATAACCCATGAATTTATAACTGCGAGGTCCAGGAAATGATAAAATAAGCGCATGGTCCACTTGCGGCTCTTCATTGTGATGTGATAACGACCTATAAATGAATCTAATAAGTCCACGCCCCCCATGTGAGCATTGTACTCCTTGATGACTTTGGGGCATGGAATAGCAACTCTCTCTTTCTTCGATTTATCAAAGCGCGTGACTGTGGTTGCTGGTTCTGCTCCTACGTAAGTGGAAAGAAGGTTAACGGGCTTGTTATCTTTCCACACAACAGCACTTACGTCAATATCATCCACAGTCGCCACGTTTTCCTCATAGAATCCTCTGGGTACGTTCTTTTTCATTATAGTGTTTTTGTCAGGCAATTTGCAGTTTCTCAATCGGTTTACTCTTACTGTTCCCAGTGAGAAAATTCCTTCCTTAGCTAAATAGGTGACGAGAGGCACAGAAGTATAGAAGTTGTCGAAGTATATAATGTGATTCACATTGCGTGGTACCATTCTAGCTAACCTGACGACTGTATTTCCAGACTCTCCCAAATCTGGCTCACCAGGTAAGATGTTATTTTTGGAGCCCCCTCCACTGTAAACCTCAAATCTATGAGCATATCCTTGTAGACTGCAGATGAGATATAATTTGAACCCCCACTTGTGGGGTTTATTGGGCATGTATTGTTTTATGTAATGGCTCATTTTGGTTGCACACATCTGCTCGTCTATGGAAAGCCTTTGGTCTAAGGGAACCTTTCCAAACTGGCAGTTGAGCATTTCCTCAAGAGGTCTTATTTTGAATAGCCTGTCATAGTCTGGATGATCTTTGGGTAAGCATAGCGTATTGTCGGCAAAATGGAGAGTGGATCTTATTTTTTCAAATTTTTTTAACGGCATCGTATTTTTTATGTGATCATAACCAAATTTATCACTCCAGTAAGCCCTGGTGTTTGGAAATTTTATGACTGAGGTGTAAATCAGAATGCCTAGGAATTTATTTAGGATATTTTCATTTATAATTTCAGGATTGGATATTTGTTTCTGGGCCGCGTATAAGTTACTTTGTTCTACAATTTGCTTTTTTAGATCTGATGTAAAATAAAATGAAAAAAAATCATACGGCGTGTTACAAGACATCAATGCTTCCGTTATCTGAGTTTCTCCCCTAAAAATAAGGCTGTCTTCAGCAGTAACAAGATTCCGTTTTCGCCAAACCAGAGGTCGCTTAGAAATCCCTTGTGATCTACTCTGGGGTACTGCTTCTCCGGCTTCCAAAATAGGAGGGTCTGGCATATTTTGATCGTTGTCAATTACGAGAGGAGGATCAGCATCCACTTCATCAGACTGGGCATTCTCACCTTCATCACTATTTTCAAGGCCCCGAAGAACATCTCGAGCTGTTTGATAATAGTGACCTTCATCCTCTACTTCGGAGTCCGAGCCGTCTAAGCCATCTTCTGAATCTTCAAGAGTTTCTAAATACTTTGTAATTTCGCTTTCTAGTAATCGCGGCATGCTGAAAAGCAAAATAAAAACCCTTCACCAAACATGCATTTATTTAGCAGGCAATGCGCATTGTAGTTTTCCTACAACATACCAGATTTCGCGTAATTCGACAGTAGCATCAAGTAATTTTCAATGTTTTACAACATGAACATGTAATTGAAGATATAATCAAGCAAATAAAAATATGTTATATACTTACATTATATTTATCAAAGTCCGAACACAGCTTCAAAACTTAGTTTCGCGCCACTAGAAAAGTTTTCTTCAAAGTGACATTTGACATTCATTTATTTTTAATGCATAAAAATATTGGATAGTGCCAACATTAAAAAAAGTACAAAATTCGTTCAGAAATAAGAACTAGTTGTCAAAATTAACAAAAAAATAAAATAAAGATAATTTTATCTGTGATGTTTAGTATGTTGTTTAAAAACAACATTGTCCATTTAAGGGTTAAATAAATAATCAAAAGCCATTTTACTTTCAATTAAAGCTGTTTACTTGTGTTAGTAATTTTATTCAACTATGCTGTATATTAGTTAACTGCAAACTACACTCAGTTAAGCTAAATAGGTTATTGCTTTTTACCACTACTAAGTGTAGAAACTAGGAAGGGTGAACAATACACTTGTGTGTTAAGAAATATTTTATAGGTGGCATTTAAACCTTTAGAAACTTATAGTTGGGTTCAGACATGGGAGAACTGCAATCACATATACATCAGATAATATACAGTTCATAAACATGCAAGTTGCAGTTGCTAGTACTTCTAAAGTCAACCTTGATGGTGGGTATAATTAACATATAAAAATATTTCACTTTTTGTCCCACGAAATCATCAATATTATTTAAAACCTTTGGCAGTTGTTGATGTAAGCCAGCTAGTTTTTTCTGGCATCTTTAAAACCTTTTCTGTTTATGTTAATTTTTCCAGGAATTATATTTTTGGAAATAATATATTGTGTATACAATATAATATTATTGCTGAGAGTCAAAGTGTAGTTCACAATCATTGTTTATACAATTTTTTTTAATAATAAATTTGAATATACACTATTATATAAAAAAAAATCTCCTATATTTAATACACTTACATATATATAAAAGTTCACAAGGTCTACCAGTTACTTATTTTCACTTCTGGTACTAAAATCGGAAAGATTGGCTTTCCTTCTCAATAAATAATTCTATTTTTAGATCATGATGATTTTACTTATTTGTGTCGAATATGTGCTGTCAAGACACATAATATTATACCACTTTTTGGGAAAGATGGTGATGATCAACACTTGATTGAAAAAATTAACAAGTATCTACCAATCAAGGTAAAGATTCAGATTGAGCATCATACCTCAATTTAATATTAATTTAAGAATTAATACTTAATTAAGTGATTTGATGTTGACAGGTATGCAATGATGATTTATTGCCAGCGGGAGTATGTGAGCAGTGTTCAAATGCTGTGTTAGCCTGGCATGAGCTAGTTGAGTGCTGTCTCCAAGCAGATGTTTCATTTCAAAATAGACTTGCTCTGTCACAAAAACATGGATTATCACAGCCAACACCTGTAATTATTGCTTACAATTAGATTAAATATACAATTACCTCAACTGATTTGCTATACATTTATATTATATTTGCAGGGTATATCGTCTAACCCAGATACAGCACTCAATGAAAATGGAATAAAGTAAGTATAGCCTAGAAAATACTAGATTTGTGTTTGAGTATATTAAGAATGTATTAAGAAACCTCTTTCAGGTTGAAAAAGGAGATTATGTTTCTCACATTGGTAAATAATGTTCTAACCGATTATTTAAAAAGCAATCAGATGGATGATAATGAATGGGTTTTTGTGTGTCAAAAATGTCCTAAGCAACCCAGCTTTGTCAATGTCTCCACTCTGACCAAACATTTAACTTTGAACCACAGTCAAAATCTTCACAACAGAGAACTGCTCCAACAGTTTATCACTACAAACATAACATTTAATACAATTCTCCTCACTGATTCTGAACTTGCTGAACTTGACACAGAGATAAAATCCACAAAGTTTACGAAAGACGTTGTTTGCTTATACTGCTCCAGCTCGTTTTCGTCCACAAAAAGACTGATTTTCCATTTAAGCAAACACATAGATATAGGACAAAACGGCGACATAGTATGTTGCGAAGAGAACTATGATGATACTAAACTGTTTGAACAACATTTACGTGATCGGCACGCGAAGCAAATTCCGGCTCACGTTTGCAAATCCTGCGGGTTCTCGGCGAACGACCAGTTGCATCTACAACAACACATTGATGCTGAACACAAGGAAACACAGAGAAAAGAGCATAAACCATCTTTAATAAGTGATACGAGTCAAAGATCAATTCCAGCAGTTTGTCCGGATTGTAACAAGACGTATTCTAACAAATACAACATGTTCATTCACATGGAAACACATCGAAAGCGCGAGGAGTTCCCTTGCAGCAAGTGCGACAAGACCTATCTGAATAAGGGGAGTCTAAACAAGCACACGGAGTTAGTGCACGAAGGCAAGCTACCCTACCCCTGTTCAGTGTGCGGCGAGAGTTTTCCCACTCGACGCGCACGCCACGTCCACTTCCTGTTGCACACCGGAGAGACACCCCACCGATGCCCCCGCTGCGGCAAAGCCTTTCGCTCCAAGAACTCGTTGCGAGGCCACATCGAGGCGCACTTAGATATAAGGAGATACGAATGCTCTCATTGTTCTAAGAGATTCAGAAAGAGCACTCATCTAAAAAATCATTTGAACACCCACAAGAAGAAAAATTAATAGGGCTTATTTGTTGCAGATGGACCGACAGTAATTACGTTAATGAAGAATTCATACAAAGTAATTTTCAATATAACAATGAAATCCCGTTTCGAATATCTCCGCCAAACGATTGCATCTCCGATAATGACGATGTACCTCTATCGCGTGTCGCCGCCGCCAATCACACGATGTCATCGTACGAAACATTTTACGCGGCTCTACTCAAGTTTAGAAATCATTACGTTAAACAACACAAGCAGAGTTCTCTCGAATTTACAGAAACCAGCACGGAAGAGGAGATAGAACAGTTAGATGATGTCGAATATGACGATTTGAGTAAGAGTAATATGCGCAGAGACAGAATGGACGATCGGACGAGAATAGAGTTAAACGAGGTGCAGTCAAAGATAAACGGAAAGGTATATTACACTTGCAAGGTTTGCGAAAAGAACTTGAGTTCTGCTCATACGTATTTATTTCACAAGAATATTCACACCGGAGAACGGCCGTGCGTGTGTCACGTATGCGGAAAGACTTTTCGTGCGCCGAGTGGCCTTCAGCGCCATCTAAAGGAAACTCACGAGAGAGTCAAACGATATGTTTGCGCACTTTGTGCTAAAACGTTTGTTAACTCTCAGAATTTACGGCAGCACATGCGCATACACACCGGGGAACGGCCGTATGTGTGTGCCCAATGCGGGAAAAGGTTCACGCAGAGCGGTTCGCTTCACGTGCATTTAAAGACTCATAGCGATCTATTTCCGTTTAACTGCACGGAATGCGGTGCTCAGTTTCGTTTACGGTCTGGTCTGTCGAAGCACAAACTCAAACACACGGGTGAACGACCGCACGTGTGCGTCAATTGTGGGAAAGGTTTTCGTCAAAAACACGAGCTGAACAGTCACTCGCTCACTCACAGTAATGCTAAACCTTTCGCTTGCACGCTCTGTGGAGCGGCTTTCCGTCAGCGGAGAGCTCTTAGGCATCATTGCAAACGACTACATGAATCGAGAGAAACTGCTAACACTGCGTACGCCCAGGTTCCATATTGACCGTATCGTTTGTATGTAGGTACTTGTGTTATTTTGATAAATATACGTCAATTGATCGCGTAGTGTTTCTATTTACTAAAGATTCTGTAAACTAGAGGTAATTGTTATTTTTTTAATAAATTATCAACTGGCCTGTTTTTTGTAAATATGTATATTACCTGTGGTTAAAATATTCCTTTTCACATTTAGTATTCTTTTTCAGCATTAAGAGTGAAGTCACGGCGGGGAATTGTTTCTCCGTTGAACTTGAAAAACATAGCGAAGAAAAAGGCTTTTTGCACGTAAATTTTTTTGAAAACGGTAAAAGTTACGGAACGTGTAAGACTTGCAACAAAAAAATATCGGCAAGCTGTCTGAGACGGCATGCTCGCTTGCACGACGAAGACAAAACGTACCGTTGCGATGCGTGCGGGCTAGGATTCAAAGAGAGCGGTAATCTGGCGCGACATAAGCGCGCAATACACAAAAAGTTGAAACCGTATTCATGCTTTATTTGCTCAAACGATTTCTCCAGAAAAAGTCATCTCGAGGATCACGTAAAATCTCATTCAGGGAATCTTTACTGCGTTTGTGATCTTTGCGGTAAAGCTTCGAAATCTAGCAATGCATTAAGAATGCATAGGAGAACTCACTTCGTCGAACGTAACATTAAATGCAGCTTTTGCGATGCCAAATTTAAAAGAAAATCCGAATTGTACGCTCACGTTTCGGTGCACACTGGAGAAAAGGCTCACATCTGCGAATGCGGGAAAGCATTTAGATTGCGAAGTCAGCTCAATCGCCACGCACACTCCCACGGCACTCGAACGACAGACGATGGCTTTGAGAAATAATAAAGGGCTTTGTTCCAGGTCTGAGAGAGTGTCCGAATACCTGGTGCGAATCGTTCCTGCGCCGCTATACACCGAAACCGGCTTTGTTATCAGCTCGACAGAGGCGATTAATAAGAGAACCGATACTTGCCATTTTAACAAACAGGACACGTTTAAATTACTTGCAGATGTCAGTACTATATTTTCCGTGCCACAACCTGAGACAGCCAAAGTACAGTTTATGAAAGAACAATTCGTCCACAATGATACAGATCACGCTAACTGGATACACTATTCCAAACATAACACATCAGACAAAAAACAACCATTACATTATAATACGTTTGTCCAAACGAGAAATAATAGCATAGACGGAAGCAGCCATAATCGTGTAGTGCCTGAATTTTCATTACAAACCATTGACAATTCAGTTGAAGACACCAATAATAGTACGGAAACGAAAGATATACAAAATAGTCCAAACTCCCCAATCTCTACCGGCGCCGAAGCGGCGTATGCAGCGTATGATGCGTTGTCATCGAGTACAGACAAGGTAATCGACCGCTTCGAACGAAATGAATTTTCGGATCATAGCGACACGGAGTCGTTCGCTCGCCTGTCCGAATCTGTGTTCGAAGCGATTGAGGATACGCGAGACAGTATTATTGACAAACCGACCGATGAGCTTAGAGTCATAGAAAAATCAAAAAAATCAAAGCGGACGAGGACGTGTCCCATTTGTGGAAAAATATATACGGCTTCGTCGAGTTACTTTTACCACATGAAACATTTTCACCGGCAGAGTAAAGAGCACAGTTGTGATGTTTGCGGAAAGAAATTCGGGACCCGCGGAGACCTGGAGCAGCACGGCGCCGTTCATACCGAGGAGTGTAAATACGCGTGTCGATCTTGCGATAAGAAATTTCGTTCGCGAGCGAGTTGGTACATTCACGAACAAATTCACGAGGGCATCAAAAACTACAAATGCTCCACTTGTGACAAATGTTTCCGGTGGCGGACGCACTTACAGCGGCATACGTTGCGTCACGCCGCCGAAAAGAAACATGAATGTGCCATGTGCGGACGGGGCTTTTCGGTTCACTGTGACCTCTTACGCCACGCCCGGACGCACGCCGTCGGCAGCTTTGAGTGCGAGGAGTGCCGTGTGAAGTTCGCGCAAATCAGGTACTTAAAAGCGCACATGAGAAAGAAACACAGCGTGACTTCGACGAGCGATATCGGTTAAGCTACCGTAACGGTTCAAAGCTATAATTCGTAAACTAAGAAACTTGCGTGGTGGTTAAGTTGAAAAGAAAATATCTGAGTCCGCAAGATACAGCATAATATGACAATATAATGTGATATTATTGGCCATTGACATTTCACTGCGTTTTAGGATAATTATGATTAAGTAAAAGAAAGAAGAAACAACTATATGGTTTATATTCATAAAACTATGTTGTGTTGATGAATGTTAATGACATCTCTATAATTACAAATTGCCTAATTGAGATGAACCTTACTTTTTGTATACAATTACTGCCTTATCATCTATGATTACAACCTTATTTAAATATATCACAATTTTCTCTACCAAAAATAATACAATTTAAGAAAAATAGAATAATTTATACAGAAAACCTATTGTGTTACAAGATAACATTATAAATAATTATTATTTATATCAAAGTAGATCATTGTTAGAACAGTTAGTTGAGAGAGTCAATGGGCGGGGTTGATCGGCCGTGTGTTTCGTTGACGAGGCGTTGCCTCTCCCGGTACATAGACACCTGAATGTTCTGTAGCTGGTGATATCGGCACACCTTCAGAGTGCTGAACACAGCCAGACCCACCCACAGAGCGAATAGTGCCCATGCACCAAACTGAAATTTATATAACAATATTTTACAGTACTGAAAAATATAAAAATAACATAACCATTCACAAACCAATAAGTTTACTTTCAAGAAATAACGCTTAACTGTCTTACCAAGCGTAGTCGTTTTTAAATTGCTATTAAAACCAGTTGTTTATTTTTCTCACCATCATTGATAAAATGAAAATTCTTCTCTCACTTTAAACATTCAAATTTTAGTGGATTAGTCTTCCAGTCAACATGTATTTCAAAACAACAGTGGTTTTGAAAACATAGTTGTTTGAATAATAGAACGTGATTGGTTAACAGGTGTCTATGGGCCATATTTTGTTTTTCAAAACCCCTAGATTATTTTTAATTAATATTTCTAACCAATATTATAAACTTATAAGTAAGAAGGTTCGTGCATATCACAACTTATACATTTATGATCTGTATCTTACTTGTGCAGTGCCAAGTTCAATGTAGAATCCATGTGTTGAGATATTATCCTTCTTATCTATGTCCTGACCTGTGGCATCTTCACAACTGAAATAGAAATACAGTACATAAAAATATTCAAGCTTAATATCATTAAGAATAAAAAATTTAATTCCTTCCCTAGAAAAGAAAAAGAAAGATGATGATTTAATAAATATGAACTTGTGAGGTATTTCAGCTCCCCTAGGTTTTCCTAATATATAATAAAGTAATATTCTTAAAAATAATTCATTGTTCCTTGAGAAGACATTAATACTGGGTGTATTAATGTTTTTTCTCTCTCATATATTGTGGGTTTTCACAGGTCACAATAGTTACTGTTATTGATAACCTATACTCATATTAAAGATGCTTATTACCTGGGAAATCGTTCAACAATATTCTGACACCAAGTCATAAAGCCAAGAGTCACAATAACAGCTGCACTTATTGCCAATCCACAGAACAACACGCAACCAACAGCCTCAATAAATGCTGACAGGAATGAACTGTCTAGTCCTTTACATACCAGTTGTGATAACCTAAAGTAGAAGAAAATATATAATTTTTATATTATCTGAAAGCACTTTTTTATTGATGTAATTATTCTAGATATGTAAGGGATAGCTGATGAGTTCTTATATTATCACCAGCAAAGGTGTGTTCAAGTGCCAAAATAGAATAGTATTAGTCAATTTCTAGATTAGATATTTCTAATAGTATTTATTTAGGTCAATGTACTGTAATGTTAATTAAAAGAAAACAAATAATGATAAAAACACAAATCACCTAAGTTGAAACAATCAGTATATAATATGTAGAGCATATTTTTAAAGGAACAATGTTAATTATTATATGTTACCTGTAGATTTGTACTAAGCAAACTATGAACATCAGACAGCCAACAGCAATGACATAGTTACAGTACCCACGGGAGGCCCACATAACTAACAACTGTCCATCTTCTTCCTGCCAAGTGCCTCGAGAGAATAAAAGGCAGTTTCCACTGGAATCACAATAGAATTAAAGTTATTTCTTAATACATCATTTCTATAGGATGTCTAAAAGCAATTGACTTTTTAAATGATGACTATGAAGAAACAGGTAAGTAGCTTACTCATTTGATGTTAAAATACTATCCACAGTTAATGACGACAATTGTTATTTATGAATGTGGTGTTGTTTATCGTATAGTTTATCTCATTAGATTAAATACCTGAATTCATCTCGGTGCATGCCCATCGGCACCATTACACAAAGGGATAATATAAGCCCTATAACATAGCCTGCTATTTGACTCAATAATATAACATTTGTTATAGCCATTGTTCATAACACGCCACTTGTGGCAAACGAATCCTGAAATTTAGTAGTAATAACAACTATGTAGGGTTTGAACTATTAACAAGAATAGTTAAAAGTGTTCACATACTGTAACTGAGAAAAAATAGCCACTATCAACATGAAAATAGCTTTATTTGTTTAGCTAAGATTTATCTTAGGACTTCTAACAATATTTGACAATATTTGATTGTTGTCTGTTGACACTGATAACTGACACCGCCCATAGGTGATAGGGCAGAACAAAACGAGAACACAGATCACAGAATCTCAATGTTATTTATGCACACATACATGCATTTTGAGTTTAGTTCATCCGCAAACGAAGGCACGGAAAAGCGTCCCTCATACTTTGCTTCGTCACTTTCCTCTTATACCCAGTCGTAGATGTTTTGTCACTCTTCTACAAATCTCCTTCAAATCAAATTCATTTATTCATTTAGGTAACACAATGCACACTTATGAACATAAAAAAAAAATACATATTAAATGCTTCTAATTTTACATATATCATATATTCGCCAATTCCCAAATCAAGGGCATAGAACGGGCAGTATACTCTCCACCACTCTTTTTAATGGCCAAGTTTTTTGTTTTACACAATGTTTGTAAGGAGCTGCAACCAGTAGGTACTATGTTCCACATGACATCTTAAGTAATTATAGGTCTACCAGAATCTGATGGCAAAAAAAAGTTTAAAAATTAGCGATTTTCATATGGCAATAAAAGAAAAATTTCATCTGTCAACTGAAATTTCGAGGAATTGTTTTGGTTTGGCTTCAAATTTCCTTTAAAAAGTGATGAAAATGTCGAAGAAACCTCAAAGAAACCTCAAAGAATACTTGATCAACAAGATGCAGAACATACACAATCATCGTTATTGAGCCATGTGCAAGCGTTGACTGGTTAATAGGAATGGCACGTCTTGATATTTTGGTTTATGAGATTTTTCGTGTGTATTATATTATGTACTTATACTAAACCTTGGTTTATTTCAGAGGTTTCTTATACTACAAATAAACTTGGATAGTTTTTATTTAGAATTGATCAGAAACAAGATAAATGAGTTTTACACTGTTTCTTTCTCTCAAATAGGGATCGATGAAAATCGGCGAAAATCTTGTTAACATGTAATAAAAATTGAAAATCAGTTCATAGAACAAGATCGGTTAATTGAGATGCAGGGGGAAAGGTTTATCATAAATACTGCGTTGAAGACTTTTTTATGGATCTATAATAAATAAACTCATGAACAAAGTAATTGGAGTTTTCATCTAAATTTCAAACCCCACATTCGCCACATTTTCAAAAATGATCTTTGATCATTGGAAATTTTTTTATATTTGCATATACACTCGGCGTCAAAAAAATCGCACCTTTTCTAAAATTCGTGTTATGCGATTATAACTCCGAAGATCCTTCCTGTACCCTATCATTATTAGTATCATTTAAAAGCTAATGAAATCCCTTATTTGAAAACGGTAGGAAATTGGTAACCACCCCCATAAAAAAAGAAAATTCTGGGAAAATGTGAAACAATGTGTATTCTGATCAGAATTACAAAGAAAATGAACAATACAAAAATTAAAAATAAACTATAACAATAATTAAAAATTAGTCTTAAAACCTAGTGTTGCCTCCTCTAGCCCTCCGACCAGCTTCCAAGCGGTCAGTCATAGACCTGATGAGCGTCACGACGTGTTCCTGGAGAATATTGTCCCACCCCTCGATGATGGCATCTCGAAACTCATCGAGAGTGACAGGAGCTGGATTCCGGGCCCAAACTCGCCGTTTCAGCTCGTCCCAGAGGTGCTAGATAGGATTGAGGTCTGGGCTTCTTGCTGGCCAGTCCATAACCTTGATGCCAACTCGACGTAGGTAGTCCTTGACAATCAAGGCGTAGGCGTGCATGAACTCGAAGTTGGCGCCGACAAAACCTGCACATGGGACCACATGCTCCTCCAAAATCTCTGTGATATACCGGTGGGCAGTCAGAGACCCCTGGCCGCGACCATCTCCAGCTCTGGAGCCGCACACGAGGTCTGTTTTGCCGTCGATAGAAATGCCGCCCTAGAACATGCAGGATCCTCTTCCATACCCGACGGTTTCCACGGTGCAGGCTGGTGTGAAACGCTCCCATGGTCGCCTGTAGACTCTCTTACCCATGTCTATGGTGTACAGGCACACTCGGGTTTCGTCGGAGAACAGGACATTCCTCCACTGGTCGAATGTCCACGGCACGTGCGTTTCGTAAAATCGCTTCCTGTTCGTCCGGTGGATGGCAATCAATTGGGGGCCTGTAGCAGCTCTCCGGGGCATCAAATTCTTTTCTCACAGCCTTCTTCTGATAGTGGAGACGCTGTCTGCTGTCCTTCGTGTAGCTCGAAGCCACTGCTGCAGCTCCACAGCCTTGGAGAAGCGGTTCCGCAAAGACGTCGACATAATGTAGCGAACATCTCTGACGGTAGTGCAGCGACGTCTCCTGGATCCATGTCTCCTCCAGTCCTCCAGATGTAACCTCCAGTCTCTTGAAACCGTTGGTATACCCGTTTCACTCGAAATCAGCTGATTTTCAGTTGCCGAGCAACTTCAACCTGCCGTAGTCCGGTTTGAGGTAGGGCCACCACTTGAGCTGCTTCTTCTGCCATGGTATCCATTTTCACTGGGTTTTTATTGTCGAAGCTCTTCAGGTGTGACCTCTGTGACGTCTGGATAGCGAATAACCCATAATTGACTTTTACCCCCCTCGTTTTATACGCGTCCAGGGTGGTACAATTAGTGAGCCTCCAAATGCGTACATCGCCACTTTTTAATCAAAGTGCTGGCGATTTGTGGTTTTTGATTTTCCGTAAACAAATGATTATTTTTATGAAAGCTTATTAATTGAGCTTTTAAATGATACTAATAATGATAGGGTACAAGAAGGATCTTAGAAGTTATAATCGCTTGACACGAATTTTAAGAAAGGTGCGATTTATTTGACGCAGAGTGTATCACACACAATCAGCCGCTATAAGGAAAAAAAATATCAAAACGTTTTACGCCAATTTACCCAGTATTGCTAGCGTCAATTTCTTTTTTCCCTTTTTGCCATCAGATCCTGGTAGACCTATAATTGTTAATTAATAATAATATAATAAAAACAAAGATTTGTGCTCTATCTATATGTATTTTAAAAGATGACTTAGGAGTTAGGACTTGCAGCCTATAAGAGATGTACCTACTGGTCATGTCTTAACTGATAATTTAAAAAAGAATAGGGTGGTAAAACCGAAACAACTACTGCAGTCTGCAGCGGTAGGTACGCAAAGGTAGTCCACAGAAAAATGTCGACGGATGAGATTTTTTTTACAATTGAGCAACATTTTAAGCTCAAAGCTCTAAGGAAGCTTCCCAATTAGTCGACAGAGTGCAACGTGGGCACTATCCGACTTCAGTGATGGTTTGGTGGGGTATTAGCTATGAAAGAGTGACTAAGCCATACCATAAGCCATGCCATTTTGTGAAAAAGGTATCAAAACATCGGCACAAGTGTGTCTTGAGAAGATAGTGAAGCCCAACTTCCAGCAAGACACGGCGCCGGGTTAAAAGGCCCACTTTTAAAAGGCTACAACTTATACTATTGAGCTACATTAATACTATGCATACCTATTCTAGCAAAAATAAAACACATTTTAAAACTGATAAAACACATTATAATTAATAATAAACATAAGGAGAGATGAGTTCTGTTCTCTTCGATTAGCTTAGATTTTTCATAAATGATCCCGAAGTGCGCCCGACAGCGGCCAGAACTGCTGGAGTTACCATCATTCCTTTCTGCTTATAGGCGTGGATTACTTGCTGGTAATTATTAACATAATTATACTTTGTTAGTTCGATAGCTCTTTTAGACTAGTTTCTTAGTAAATAATAAATGCAAATAAAATACAGAAATTAAATAACACAGTTATGCTTAAATAGATTAAATCGGTTATTTCGTAGCAACATGCAAACCCGTTAAAAGTAGAGATTTGTAAAACATAATTTTTTTTTGTCAATAAATGTTTTTTTCTACTGTAGTAAAGTGTGTTATATGAAAATATGTATTTCAAAATTTATTTATACCACAAGTTCATCTTTTCTTACCAAAACTAATTTGATGAGAAACACGGCAAAGGTCAGAAAAGAGATGGTCATGAGGGCCCCCTCAGAGGACGGGACCTCGACATGGCCCCGGGATTCCGTGGAACGACGAGATCGCCCAGAGTCTTCATCGTCTGGCCAAAGGCGATCAATATGCCCTTCTATAATATTTATGAATTTTACGGTCTCTCTTCGAAGCTATCGAGCATTCATTTTGAGCTGAATGTTTTTTGATGATGAGGTATAATTTTTTTATTTTTTTTTATTTATCAATATGTGTAATTTGCATGACATTTATGAATGAAAACTTTAGGTAAGTCATAATTTGTTACATTTAACTGAAATTCTACATTATTATACGAAGAACTTACCAATGCTAGCAGTTATTGTGTCTTTTAAATCTTCAAGATAACGAACTTTGCTTTTGAAACCTCGATGGGTCTTTTTCGATATTGTATCAGCAACAAGCTTAACAGCTTCCCATACTCTCTCCATTTTATTATCTTCACTCACTGATGTATTTATCCAATCTTCTGTAACAGGTTTATCTGTTAAGGGTTTCAGTTTTTTATCGTCTTTAGTCATCTTAACACTGGGATCTTCAGAAGACAAAATGTCATTTCTATTTGATGAACTTTGGAATACTTCCTCAATAGAAACCCTTTGAAAGCCTCCAGTTTCAGCATGTATGTCAACTCTATCTGGCGATCTCAGATCGTTTGTTTGGTGTGCACTGATTTTAACTTGAGATTCGACAGGACGGCTGATATAAGGGTTACTTTTAATTTTTATACTATTTTGATTATCACCCTTTAAATGAACTCTATGTTCGTTACGTTCACTATCTTCAAGAGAATGTGGCGTGATTTTGGTTCGAGAACCTTTCCACGCAACAGGCCGACTCTCCAAACCCTCAAAATTAGGCTTCACAGATGGTGTCTTGACGCTGGCGTACGGTACTCTTCTTACATTACCGATATGTGATATTTTATTGATGGATCCTCTTTTCCACTGGTTAAGAGATTGATTTACATAGGTTAAGTCTTTTGAGACAAGATCAACGTTTTCTTTAAATCTTGGTGGTTCCTGTCTGTAATTGTTCTGCGATATCTCAACCCATTCCGCGCTAACTCCAGCAATCAATAATGCTACTATGAACATGTTAACTTGTAGTCTCGTGGGTTAGAAGTGCCGTGAACTGTGCGACATTATTTGCTCGAGGAGTCATGTATTGTAGGGCTGTCAGTACTAGTTTATATTTATTAAATAACGTATCTGAAGAAGTGTGTTAAAATACGTCCATAAATTGATAATAAATCTGATCTCGTCAGAAAATTCTTCCAACTCGGAACGCTTGCTCACTACTAAGCGCTGTGATGTTACTAAATTCAGTTTTATTAAAGAGCGTACTCTTTTCTTGAAGGAAATACAAAACAAAATAATTTGCTCTTAGATAGTAAAATAGAATGACAGCCCTTGTTTTCATCTTGGCTGATCATTGTAATGGCCTAGGGTCATGGCGCGTGAAAGAAGCCGAACGAAGTGTTGCGTATTACTCTTCACTTAACTCGTTATATATACATAATAAAAAAAAACAAAATTATTAGAATTAACACTTTATTATTTTATCATTTAGCAACATTGTGTATATTAATTTTACAAAATTGACAAGACAATTTATCTACAAAACGCATTAAAATTTGTAAGTCGACATAACATCTTTAACACCTTAGTGTAACGAAGAAATAGTTTACATCCAGTTTATAATATAAAATTAAGTTTATAAATATTGGTCCAAACTTCTGTAAAAAATAGTAGATATAAAAATAATACTAAAAATAAATTAAAGCTCCTACGATTACAAATATAAAAAAATATTGTAGAACCTCTTCAAAATAGATGCCACGAGTGTTGTTACAATTTGATTTTCGGGAGTTACAACCCAAGAACGCTAAGCCTACACACTACCTGAGCTACCGCATCTATGTAATGTTATGCATTTTCTAAATAAAATAAAAAAATTTGATTGTTTTAAAACCACGTGACAAAAATCGTTGAAATTTTCTTGTCTTATTCATAAAAACTATATCAGTCCAATTACGTCTGTCTCGTTTCATTATAGCGTAAATATAATTTAACGAAAAGAGACAAAAGCGTACTTTAGTTAAACAACAGTGCAATAAAACTGAGTTTTTATGAATAAGGGCTTCAGTTTGCAACTACTTCATATTCTGGAAGCACTAATAAAATGAAAATCACTTATAACAGAGATCACAGTATTTGGAAGATTTGATTGAAAAAAATATCGAAAACATAAAAACAATCCTTAATTTATCAGAATGTGGTACGACCTATTACCTTTTTAAAATGTTATACATAGGAATATTGCCGTTATAAGCGTGTTTGAATCCGTCAAAAACGGTATTTTGGTGTAATAAATATATCACTTGACAACCTTTTAAATAAATGCCTAGTTCCAGTTCAAATGCTTATTTATACCAAAGAACCCACAGAGTAAGTGGAAAATACACTCGCGAGCAAACAAATCGACTCAAGCGCTACCTCTGCATTCAAAGATTGTTTTAAGTGAAAGTATACAACATTTTAATAAAAATGATACGTCATTTGAAAGCTTAAAACTTCAGCTTTTATGAGATGTTATTATTATTAATATCCATGTATCCTTGTTTTATTATTGGTGTCTGAACTTAAATGGGAGAAAAATGCGATTTTGGGTAAAGGAGTTGTGTTCAGAATTGACAAATAAAACACGTTTTTTTTTCTTAAAGAGTATAACATTTATTGGTTCACTAATTGGTATTGCCCCCCTAGCCCAAATTACAGCCCGTATTCGGTTCTTCATCAACCTTATTCATTTTTCGACGGTGTCTTGAGGAATACCTTCCCACTCCTCTAACAAAGCTGCTTTCAATTCTTCAAGGCTCGAATGGGCTGGATTTCTTGCTCGTACCCTTTGTTTGAGCTCATCCCATAAATGCTCGACGGGATTTATGTCTGAACTGAGCGCAGGCCAGTCCATTGTGCGCAAATCGACTTCTCGAAGAAACTGCTGAGTAACGCGCGCTGTGTAGCATCGAGCATTGTCATGCATTAGGATGAAGTCTTCGTCAACAAATCCTGCGTAGGGCACAACATGTTCCAGGAGAATATTTGTGATGTACCCATCAGCTGTCAGTCCTGCTCTTCGGCCTACTCCAGGCTCGAAAACGAGCTGGGTTTAACCCTCCAACGAGATATCAGCGCACATCATGCAAGAACCGCCACCATAGGCAACGATTTCTGCTAATCAGCATTAGTAAAATCGCTCTCCCGGACGCCTGTAGACCCGGCCTCTCCTGTCACTGCCATGCAGACACATCCTGCACTCGTCAGTCAACAGGATCGACCGCCATTACACAATGCTCCAGTTAAGATGCTCTCGAGCAAACTGTAGCCGAGCTTGCCGGTGGCCTGCAGTCAATTTGGGGCCCGTTGCAGGCCTTTTTGGAGTCAGGTTGGCTTCCTTCAGACTTCTTCTTGCTATCCACTCGCTGACAGCTATACCTCGAACACGTCTCAGCTCGCCCTGCACGTCGACACCCGTAAGGTGCCGATTTCGCAGGGAGGTTGAGACAATGAAACGGTCGTCTCGTTCAGAAGTACAACGGTTGCGGCTGGTTGTTGGTCTCCGAGTGAATGCTCCAGTCTCTTGTCTATCGTCTGTATACTCGGGATACAGCAGATTGACTCAAGTGAAGCTGGGAAGCGACTACTCGCTGACTGAGTCCTTGTTGCAATAAGGCAAAAACTTGAGCGGCTTCTTGAGGTGTGGTATCCATGGTTTCTTGAAAACAAAGAATGCAGGTTGCGGAGATGTGTATCGGTCAACTGTTTATAAGCAACTCATAAAGGTTGAAGGGTAACGGGGGTTTTATAGGGGTAGAGGGTAGCGCAACTTGCTGGTAGCGTAGTGAGTAATTTGTCCCATACGCACTAATTGCGCAAATTAACATGTTGGTAGTCGTTTTATTTAATCGTGTTGATGTTTTTTTTAAAGCTTAGGTTTCAAGCTTTCAAACGACATATTATTTTTATTAAAATGTTGTATACTTTCACTTAAAACAATCTTTGAATGCAGAGGTAGCGCTTGAGTCGATTTGTTTGCTCGCGAGTGTAGATAAGATTATTAGAGTCTGGCTAACGAAAGTAGATACTGGATTTTTTTGCAAATTTTTTATATGACAACACTAAAGTTAGTACGGTCAAAATGTCTTGATATTTTTTTATTTTAAATAAGTACATATTAGTTTTAGTTACTTTAGATAATGTTATTGTTCTTTTACAGAGATTATTAGCCAACGGTTATGAATTTAAGAAAAACAAAAATGAACGTTCATTATTAATTGAACGATATGATATAGCTGCATGGAGACATCGCTTTTTGCGTACCATTGCATCGAAACGTGCAGAAGGCAAGCCAATAATCTACTTAGATGAAACTTATGTCCACAAAACCTATAAGCCTAAAAAATGTTGGCAAGGTCCATCAACAAGTGGAATAATTGAAAATATATCGTCAGGAAAACGATATATTATTGTGCATGCAGTAAAATAAAAATGAATGTCAAATAGTAACAAAGTGAGTTGTTCCAACTTTCCTTTTTACTTTAGGGCTGCCATGCTGATATTTTTTAAATTTTCCGCGCTTTTTCAGTATCAACTTTCATTAGCCAGACTCTACCTAAAATTTTAACAATATTCATCGACAGCTTATCATTTAATAATAAATAATGTCTCGGCTAATTACATAATTTACATAGGCTCGACACGTCGAGTTGCAAATGATTCCGTCGGAAGTCAAAACGGCCTCGTGTTGGCACTTCGAAGAAAGGTTTTGGCAAATCGTTTTAGTGCGGAATTTGTAAAGATTTTATTGTTTTGAATATAATATGGATTTTACTAAACTCTAACCTATGTGTTTTCATAGATAAAACACAATTTGATAAAATTTCATTTTATTAATAATGTGTTTCATAAGTCGTAAATGATAGTTATTTAAGAAAGTAGGTTTAGTATGAGTTAGTTACGTATACGCGTATATTACAAATTCTAAAGTAAAACATAAAGAACGTAAGAACATTCCTAAATTCTTGTATAAATAAGAAAGCAATGGTCGGTTAAATTTATGAAAATAATGAGTCCGGCTCTATTACTATATACTCTTATGAACTAGGTATTCTAAATATTAGGCCGTTTGAGGCGTGTCCCTTACACCTACGAAGATTTCACGTAAATAAAAAAACAGTATCATTTTATGTTCGTTACGAACCCCCTGACGCGGTCTTGACACAATTTAAACTAAGTAAAGTATCGTACTTAACATTTCAGTAATAGCTACATTATACATCGCATATATAGAACATGAGATACTTTTATACAATTATAGACTATATTATTTAAGTCGGTTTAAAAAAAACAAATCTTTCAAGTCGAGCGGCCTATGTTTAGTCGCCATTTTAATCATATAATGTCACGTAACCGAAGATTAATGTTGATCGAGTGCCTCGGGGGTTCCGACTCCTCGACGATTGTGGGTCACGAAATAACCCATACAAATATTTGTACTTATTCAATGTTTAACTACAATTAAATGTTACGAGTTATTCTATTAGAGGAAGTAAAATTTATTTAATATATCTATCTAGCTGCGGAAACTTAACATTTCCCAAAAGAATAAACCACATCTGTGACCGCGGGCATGTCTTGAATTGTAATTTTATTTTGTCTCCAAAAGCTGCCATTAAATATTGATGTAACAAGCTATTGTTTTAAACGTGAAAGGCCAGGCCTTGCCAACCTGCGACCTCGTCGAGTACGTCCATCGAATTGGAGTACGCGAGGTTCCACGGCGGTCACTTTGCCCTGACGAGCAGTTTCCTCCAGTAGAGTCGGACGGTGACGCAGCCGATCTCCTCCGGGGGGAGCTCGGGCTCTCTGCGCATTCGCATACACAATAGTTATTTGCAAAGAGATGAGAGAGATAAAGAAGATCGACGTGCATCAGTAGAACTCACGGTCAGTGCGCCTGGTAGCGCTGGTCGTCGCTGGGGTGCGTCAGGTAGCGCGCTCCGACCCTCCGCTCGAGGGCCCTGAGGTCTTGCCAGGCCTCGCAGGTCTGCAGCCAGGCGTGGGCCGCGCACTTGTCCACGGACAGGCGTTTGCGCTGCTTCACTTGCAGCAGATTGTTGATCAGGTCGACGGCTGAAAGGTAGGAACGCTGTCAGTCTGCGTAAGGAACGGATCGTCCGGCGGATTCGAGGGCCAGCCCCGCGGGTACCTTCCGGCGAGATCTCCCTCCAGGGCGTGGGCGGGTACATGAAGGCCGCGTTCTGGATCTGCTCGTTGATGTCCTCGTCCTCGTTGAAGGGGAAGGTGCCGGACAGCGACACGTAGACGATGACGCCCACCGACCACATGTCCAGCGAGCGGTTGTAGCCCGCGTTGCGCAGCACTTCGGGGGCTGTGACGTCACAAATGTCATCGGTCATCCGTCTCTCACCCTCGACTACTCTACCGTGCGCCATCGAGGCCGGTCTCACCGAGGTAGGCCGGAGTGCCGACCACGGACCGGCGGAAGCACTTCTCCCCGATGATGCGAGCGAAGCCAAAGTCGCAGAGCTTCACCTGCGGGAACTGCTCGTCCGAAGACAGCAGCACGTTCTCGGGCTTCAGGTCGCAGTGGACTATGTTCTTCTCGTGGAGGTGCTTGAGCGCCACCAGGATCTGCAATTTCACCGATGAGACAGGGGGCGGCAGAAAAGATTAAACGAACGCGCCGATCGCCTCGTACCTGTGCGACCACAAACTTGGTGATCCTCTCCGGTAATCGAGCGCGCTCGTGGGACAGAATCATCTCCAACATATCTCCCTTCAGCCGCTCCATCACCACGAAGATGCGTTCGGGGGTCTCGAACATCCTCTCCAGGTTGACCACCCCCGGGTGGGACAAGTTCTGCAGGATGGCCACTTCGTTTTTCAGCTGGGCCTCCTGTTTGGTCGGGAAGCGGAGTTTGTCTATCACCTGGAATGAACGTTAATTTGTTACGGAACCCGCCGGTCGGCCCTCGGCCTCGGCGAAGCGCCGTTTCCCACCTTGATAGCGACAGGTCTGAGCGTATCGCGATGTAGGCCGGCGTAGACGATTCCAAATTGCCCCGAACCCAGCACCTCGTCGGGGTGGATCTGGTACAGCTGCGACATTTCCAGGCGACCCCCTCCGCGCTGAGAGCCTCCGCCGCTTTGACCTTCACCTGAGGAACAATTCATACATCACGTCTGCCGAGCGATCCCGAGCCGTCGGAGAGGCGCGGCCGTCGAAACCTCACCGGTCCGCGGGACGTGCACATTGAGCGGCAGCAGGGCGTGGCGGATGGCGGTCTCCCAGGAGCGGGCGAGATAGGCCCCCAGCCCCGACTCCGGCGCAGAGCCGCCGGCCTCCTCCGCTCCCACCAGGTAGTCCACGTTGGCGGTCCGCAGCTCGAAGCAGTGCATCACCTCTGGGGGCGAAAGATTCGATCAGAGAGACTTCGCTGTGGTCTGTTTATCCGTCTGTGAGAAACAAGGAGCGTACCGGAGTGCGGGTGTCTGGCGGTCTGGATGGCGAGAATGTCGTGCAGAGGAATCTCCTTGTAGTACTTGGTTCCGTTCTCGGAAGAGAACAGCGTGATGCACTTGCTGTCCATGCGCCAGTAGTGCCGACGGACCTTAAGGGGAAGAGGTAGATTTAGTTTGCCTGATTTTACTCTTTAACTTTAAGACAACCGTTCTGACTGAAATGAAAGTGATTCATATTTAGGAATTTAGCGCTGATCATGTTTCAGGCTTTTTCATCTTTGTATTATTACCATTTAAATATCAGTCACGAGAAAAATAAGCCGCTTTAAAAAACCAGGGCCCTATTGCTGTCGTAGAGAGATGCATAAAATTTAACGACCCGTTTCATTTGAGCGAAAACTAGAGAATTTGATAAAACTAAGAATTCGGAGGGTTCAAGTTACGGTGGCGTCCTTGTTCGTGAAGTGCACCAGCCAGCCCTGCTTCAGCCACTGGCCCTCTCTCTTCTTGGTGTGCTTCACGGACTGCACTATTCGCATCAGAGGGATGTTGGCACTCGGAGACGACGAAGCACTGCAACAATTTTATGAAATAGGTCTAAATGAAAGAAACGTTCACGAGGTGAACTTGGCTTTCGTCGTCGCCGCTCAGCCGGTGATCTTCTCGTTTACCTGACATGAGTGGGCAGAGGCAATTGAGTCTAAGGGCGGTAAGTTTGGACATAGCGAAAGCCTTAGATCGGGTGTTTTTTTAGGGCAGGTTTCCGAACCAATTCGACTTCAAGAAAAGAGCGCATCAATTCTTAAATGGCCGTCTGGCAATGTGAATGTCCATGGGCCGCGGTATACATCAAGCGGGCCCCTTGCCCTTTGTTGTATATAAAAAAATATTCAGTCACCTGCTGGGTCGACTCGGTGACGTATCGCGTTGAGGTTCTTCTTCGGGATCCGTTTCACTGTTGCGTAGTTGAACGGGCTGAAAGGTTCGGTCGATATAAATACGTATAAGAAAGGTGGCTGAACATCTACATCTACGAAGAATTAAGGCAGACCTCATCGTGTTCACCGTTGTTCACGTCTCCATCATCAGACTCCTCGTCGAGTTGCGCTCGAGTCCCGTCCGATACTTCACTGCTCGTGCTGCAGCTGTCTTGGAACTCCCCTGAAGGAATGAATCGACTCAAAAGACAATCGTTTTCGAGCGGTGAACCGTTCTGCAAGAACCCTCACGCGATGTCTCACCGTGTAAATCCCGTATCTCTCCGCCGCAGTCCTTGGGCACGAACGGCAGACATTTCCTGTGGGCGTTGTAATGACAGTCCCTGCACTGAAGGCCTTGCTTGAAAAGGCCGCGCAACAGCTTCTTGCAGAGACGACAGACGGTCGGTCTGGTGTAAGAGTGCACTTGGAAAGTGTGAGGGATGCCCAGCGAACTCGTCGGCCACGTGTTCGTCGATCGCTTGCTCGCGCTTCCCACCTATGCATCGGATTCGACATTACAAGCTCGTCGTCCCGGCCGACCGCTACTACTACTAGCGCCGTATATTCAAAAGACTTCTTTTGAATATACGTGAGGAATTATGGGACTCGATACTATCAAAGCCTAAAGCCACTATTAAGCAAAATGCATCAAACAGCCGGACATCTGCATGTCATTATTAACAAATAACGACTGATTGGTTTTCATGAGTTTACGCATAGGCCGGAAGATAGTGAACAAAATAGTGGGTGATTTGTACCAGTAAGGCGGTTTTTTAGGGGTCTTAATACGCAATGAAAAAAAGAAAAATGATTGTCATAGCGCTGGTACCGGCGGCCCAATCGCGTGGGAGTTAGTCGTACTCGTCGGATTAATTACGAAAGTCAAACGATTTGTTCAACAAAAATTCTAGTATTTTCCGATATTCCATAAAAAAATAAGAGGCGGCGGTGTCATGCCATACTTCTCCGGTGTGACATACAGCCCGCCATACCGACGCGAATGCATTAATTTAAAAAAAATTATACCATTTGTACCAGGCTTATTTTTGCACAGTTTAATCAGCGTCGTGCAGGCATTTACCAAAATCACCATGCCATACTTTTCGGACGGTTCAAAATGGCCGCTATACCGCTGAAACTCTGCATTCTGCTGTTTTTTTTCGCTACCTCCCACAGGTATTGCATTATGAGACTTCTATTTATGATCATACAGGGACCGTTGAAAAAAAACTTTTAGGCTGGTACAATTCGTTTTTGCTGATTTTACGCATACTGGTATACTGGTACAAATGACCCACTATCTCCCGGCCTAGCATGTCTCAATAAGATTTTGATATAGAATAGATTTATGACAATAGGGTATGGTGGGTGAGGTTCAGAAAGAAAAGTCTAAAATGTATTAAAATATTTATTATGCAAATACAGTTATCGTTATTAGTCCACCCACCACCCGATACGTGACGTTAGTAGAGCTTAATATGAACTTAATTTAAAACATGTAAATTGTACGGATTTTTAATACTTTAAAGTAAATTAATATCACAATATACACGATCGACATCGGACGCTCTAATTGTATACGATTATATGGAATATACAAAATATTTTTTTCATGCGAAGGAATGTAGATTTTTAATCACAAAAATAATTAATTTGCTCAGCTAAAACTAATCAATACAATAAAACAAGCATCAACTAAGTAAATTCATTACAAAAATCGTAATTAATTATAAAATATATTTAATTCTTAAGAATAATATACTGAATCAGTTGAGCAGATCGGCTATCCGCCTTACCAGGGAGTCGTCCTGCGACGCGTGGCTGTGCGCAGACGTCCGTGACGGACTGCGGGGCGCCCCCGACTGACGACGGGAAGTACCCGCGGCGCCTGCGCCTGCGACGGGTGTCTTGCAATTTGACGGTACTTTCACTGCGCATCGCTTGTGGTAGTTTAGCCCGCACCCTGCAAACGGATGATGGAAAAAGTGGGAGTTTCCGTTTTATAAAGGTTTGCAAACGGAAACAATTATTGACTGCATCTCTCTTCACTAACGAGTCAACGATAGTTCCGTTTTTGAATACAAATTTAGTAGCATGTTTGTTCTATTATATCAGTATTATATTGTTTGGTCGATTGTACCGAGCTGGTAAGCAAAATAAACCTTCGAACATATAATAAAACACTTACAATCATGAACCCATTGCATGTACCACAGAGTAAACACAAATTATAGAGGGAGCAACTTTATGGTTAGAGCGGCGAACAAATTTAATGACTTAACGATTGACATTGATTTGTTCGCTGAGAGTGTGAGGACAGCAAGGATAGCTTTGACACAACATTATTTCAACCGTGATGAATGAAGTGCATTGATAACCTTTCATTGTCAACTAACTAAGTTATGTTTTTTTCTTTTCTTTTTTGTTTTACACTAAAAATATTTGGCATGTTTACCTTCTTGTTTTATGAAGAAAAAAAAAACTATATGTGAAGATTTCTAATTGGCCTACAATGTTATATATATATATATATATATATATAATCTATTTATGTATTGTGCTGTGAATCTTCTGAATAAATAAATATAATATAGATAGACCTTCGCATTTTAGCCCCTGCCGCACCAAGCCAAACAGCATCTCGCCACAAAAGTCGCAGAACGTCGGCGCCTTGTACGAGTGCACGGCCAACGCGTGCGGCCGCGACACCGGCTGCTCCGTACCGCCGTCGCATATGGTGGCTGAAAGGTGAACTGACGTTTAGATAGGGGCAAAACAAATCTTAATCACTAATGCCAAACTATTCCAAAGGCATATTATTTATCACGGAAATAAAATACGCTCACGGTTTGCTGTGAGAACGATCTCGACCAGGGTCTCGTCCGTGACATCGGTAGAGGAATTGACGAGCTGCAGCACGTTGGGCGAACAGTAGTCGTGGCGGAACAGTAGAATGCGATCTGATAGCCTATTAAGTCCGTTGTCTGGGATCTGAAACGGAACATAAAGAAGATTAGCAGATAATACATGTATATAATAAAATACTAAATACTTATATATACGTACAAACTATATACCAGATAAATAATTATTATTTATTTCTTTAACGAGACTGTCAGAAGTCAACTGTGTTAGTTTCAATTGTCTTAAATTTTAGGTAGGCCTATGAAATTAGAGATAAGTATAAAAATTTAAAAAAAATTGCGTATTGGCGATGAGAACCTACTTGTCGTGATTGGCAAAACCGAAGGCCTTTTGCCTTCGGTTTTGGATCGCGTAGATGGATCAAGTTAAAAGTTGTCATCCTCCAAAGTATACACAGTTCTAAAAGCGCAGGACCGACATTTATTGACATTATTCGCGCCAGATCTTAATATACAGCTGAGCACGATACTATATTTTAGTTCAGGTAAGTACTGGCCCTAGTTATTTATAAAAATTTTCAATTTTGATGGTAGTTTGTTTATCCCTTTACTGTAGCGATGAAGTCAGCTTGTTACTGCTGCCAAGCACTGCTGTAAAAACGTTTTTTCTAAATTTGAAGAAAAGTTGAAATCTGTTGGGCCAAGATCCGGTATATATGTCAACGTATTCAACAGAACGAATAGCTCCAAGCCGTCATTCTTGTAGCTATGCGATTGTCTGTCGCGCAGTGGGAGCTCGCGCGAAAGAGCGATTGGCCAGTCTTGGTGGTTGAATTGCGAGCTTCTACATCATTGTTTGCAATACTAGGCAATAGAAATCTGGCAACGCTGTTGTCCTATTCAGTAAAAAGCTGTGATGTATAAGTCCGGCACTGGTCCACCAGACAGTGACCATCATCTTCCTATGAGTATTCTGTTTTTAGCGTACTGATTATGTGCCGTGCCCTGGTCCACCCACTGAGACGAATACTTACCGTTGTCGTGCTGGATCCAGTCGATTCGAATAGAATTCCTTGTTTCAATGCCCATTCAGTAATGCTATGCATGCTTCGTAGCTTAGTCTCGCTGTTGATCTTTATCTCGTGTGGCAGCTAATTATCTAGTTTTCTTATCTTTCCGATTCGACGCAAGTCAAATAAATGTTGTTTTGACAGTAACTCCAAGCCCACAGCATGTTTAGACCCGTAGATTGAGCTGAATCCGCTTCCCTATCACCAAAAACTCAATTTACGACAACGGCCGAACGCGAGGCTCGTTCTTCAACTCAATATTTGCAGATTTAAAATCATTGAACGTATTTCTTATAGCTGGAGCTATGGAGCGTGATTAATGTTTATGCAAGTAGTGTTAGGCTCCTACTGCCCTCGTGTTGTGTGTGTGTGTTTGCACAGCGGTATTTCCACGTAAATTCGACAATTGTGCGCATTTTTAGTTTATATATTATGTCGCCAAAAACTGAAATTGAATTTATACTAACACGGCTTTCGAATAAAATTTATTTTAATTTCGAATTGAGCGTCAATCCAGAGATAATTAAATATGTAGATGATGGTTATAGAATCTCTAATTACATAATTATATTAGTTAATCTAAATCAATTTAAAGGTTGAAAATTTACGTCAATAATATTATGGGGGTTCGAATTGCAAGGGTTGGGTTCTGCAATTTTAACTACCTTATCGTGTACAAACTTGACAGCGAGCTCCTTAAGGTGTGCGAGAGTGAGCCGATGCGCAGGCGCCGACACCGCGTCCCGCAGCACACCCAGCTGAAAGAGGAACGTCACCTCGTCCTCCATCCTGCGCTCCCGTCTGGAACACGTAAATAGCCTATTATCATAAGATAAATACAGAATAAATATTCAATATTAGTTTTATTCCGTAGATATTAAATCATGTGTTAAGGCCCTATCCCAGCACGAATTGCTGTGTCAGTGTCTCGAGGTGGACTGCGGGGCGCAGTAGAGAGCTGGAGCACTGAGGCGTAATAACAATTAGTTCAGTTAAACATTAAATTATAAATTAATTCATTATTTTTTTTCTGAAATGGATTACTTTGCTTGCGATGACATATATCGTGTAAATTTCAGAATCGTGTTCTATACACATTTTCGTCATAAAATGAATTCAAAGTGTCAAAAATTGGCTATGTTTGGATTTTTCTCTATCAAGCGAAGTTATTTAAATTGTGTATCGATCTTTCAAAATGGATATATAAAATGGAAAGAAACAATGTACTTTTTTGGAGTTAAGCAACCATAAAGGGCCTAATAAGTAAAGCCAACTTTCTTTATAGCTCTCGGATTTCGAAACGACGATACATTTATTTACGACTTCAAAGTAAAAAAAAAACTAATTTCAGTTTTGCCAAATATAGAATTTTCTATAGATTCGCAGCTCGATGTAGGAAGGTTATAGTTTATAAATAAGTCTTTCGAATTCTTTCGAAAAGTATTTAGATTTTTTAAATATTACATTTATATATACGTATATATTTTATTTTATTTTAAAAGGCACACTAACTAGACACATACAAACACTTACAGAACACATGACATAGAAAACAAGATACATGCATGTGCATCAATAACAAGTGTGCACAACATTTAAATGGAAACATTACAATGATGAAGAGAAAATAACTTAAACATTAAAAGTAAAAAACAAACTAGATTAAAAATATACAAACGTGCAATTTACAAATATATAAAAAAAATCAATAATTTTCTACTTTGCAAATATCACTATTGGTCACGGATCAACAGTGGCTACAGCATCTTACGCCTGAAGACATGAAGACTGTCACTAAATGGATCTGCTTGGCATGTACTCAGAGCGTCGTTTAATGTCGATAGAGATCTGTTTAGAGGAGCATTACAACCGACGTTGGTCCTCACTGCCTGAACGTAAAAACGGATTGAAGTTTTTCTTGTGTTCCTCTTTAAGAGGAAGTTCACTTGACTTAAAACATTAGGTAAATCTACCAAGTTATTTAAAATTTTGAAAACAAATATAATGTCGATAAGGCGGCGTCTATCGCGGATAGGCATAAGAAAAAAAAAAAACCCGCGGGAAGGGGGAAAAAAAAAAAAAGGGGGGGGGGGGAAAGGGGGGGAAGGGGGAAGGGAAAAAAAAAAAAAAAAAAAAAAAAAAAAAAAAAAAAAAAAAGGAAAAAAAAAAAAAAAAAGGGAAAAAAAAAAAAAAAAAAAAAAGAAAAAAAAAAAAAAAAAAAAGGGGGGGGGGGGAAGGGGGAAAAAAAAAAAAAAAAAAAAAAAAAAAAAAAAAAAAAAAAACCCCCCCGACAACAAAACCCCCCCACACCCAAAAAAAGGGGGGGGGGGGGGGGGGGGGGGGGGGGGGGGGGGGGGGGGGGGGGGGGGGCCCCCCCCCCCGCCCAAAAGGCGGCGGGGGGGGGGGGGGGGGGGGGGGGGGGGGGGGGGCGGGGGGGGGCCCGCGGGGGGAAGGCCGCGGGGGGGGGGGGGGGGGGGGGGGGGGGGGGGGGGGGGGGGGGGGGGGGGGGGGGGCCCGCGGGGGGGGGGGGGGGGGGGGGGCCCCGGGGGGGCCCCCCCCCCCCGGGGGGGGGGGGGGGGGGGGGGGGGGGGGGGGGGGGGGGGGGGGGGGGGGGGGGGGGGGGGGGGGGGGGGGGGGGGGGGGGGGGGGGGGGGGGGGGGGGGGGGGGGGGGGGGGGGGGGGGGGGGGGGGGGGGAAAGGGGGGGGGGGGGGGGGGGGGGGGGGGGGGGGGGGGGGGGGGGGGGGGGGGGGGGGGGGGGGGCCCCCCCCCCCCCCCCGCGCCCCCCCCCCCGCCCCCCCCCCCGGGCCCCCCCCCGGGGGCCCCCCCGGGGGGGGGGGGGGGGGGGGGGGGGGGGGGGGGGGGGGGGCCCAGGGGGGGGGGGGGGGCCCCCCCCCCCCCCCCCCCCCCCCCCCCCCCCCCCCCCCCAGGAACGAGGGGGGGGGGGGGGGGGGGGCGGGGCCCGGGCCCCCGCGGGCCCCCCCCCCCGGGGGGGGGGGGGGGGGGGGGGGGGGGGGGGGGGGGGGGGGGGGGGGGGGGGGGGGGGGGGGGGCCGCGGGGGGGGGCCGCGGGGGGGGGGGGGGGGGGGGGGGGGGGGGGGGGGGGGGGGGGGCCCCCCCCCCCCCCCCCCCCCCCCCCCCCCCGCGGGGGCCCCGGGGGGGGGGGGGGGGGGGGGAAAAAAGGAAAAAAAAGAGAAAAAAGGGGGGGGGGGGGGGGGGGGGGGGGGGGGGGGGGGGGGGGGGGGGGGGGGGGGGGGGGGGGGGGGGGGGGGGGGGTGGGGGGGGGGTGGTTTGAGGGGAAAAGGAGGGGGAATTGGTTTTGGGGGGGGGGTTGGGGGGGGGGGGGGGGGGAAAAAAAAAAATGGGAAATTATAAAATTTTTTTGGGGGGTTTGTTGGGGGGGGGGGAGCATACGTGGGGCCAGATTTTTCCCAACAGTTGAGTTGCCCAAGATTTGCACCCTCTTCCCCCCCCCCCCCTTCCCCCCCTTTTTTTTTTTTTTTTTTTTTTTTTTTTTTGTTTTAAAAAATTTTAAAAAAAAAAAAAAAAAAAAAAAAAAAAAAAAAGAAAGAAAAAATTTTTTTAAAAAAAAAAAAAATTTATGTTAAATTCCTTTTAAAAAAAAAAAAAAACCCCATCCCCACAACCCCCCCCCCCCCCCCCCCCCAAAAAAAAAACAGGAGGGGCCGGGGCGAGGGGCGGGGGGGGGGCCCGCCCCCCCCCCCCCCCCCCCCCCCCCCCCCCCCCCCCCAACACCCCCGGAAGGCGGGCCCCCCCCCCCCGCCCCCCCCCCCCCCCCCCCCCCCCCCCCCCCCCCCCCCCGCGGGGTTTTTCCGCCGGGAGGGGGGGGGGGGGCCCCCCCCCCCCCCCCCCCCCCCCCCCCCCCCCCCCCCCGCCCCCCCCCCCCCCCCCCCCACAGGGGGGGGAGGGGGGGGGGGGGGCGGGGGGGGCCAGAGGGGGGGGGGGGGGGAAAAAGTGAAAAAAGGAAGAAATGAAGACACCACTAAGTAACAAAATGAAAAAAAAAAAAAAAAAAAAAAAAAAAAAAAAAAAAAAAAAACCCAAAAACACAAAAAAAAAAAAAAAAAAAAAAAAAAAAAAAAAAAAAAAAAAAAAAAAAAAAAAAAAAAAAATTATTTTTTGCCCCCCCGGAGAGAGAAAAAAAAAAAAAAAAAAAAAAAAAAAAAAAAAAAAAAAAAAAAAAAAAAAAAACCCCCCCGGGGAGACCCCCCCCCGCCCCGGCCAGAGGAGGGGGAGAGATTTGTGGTGTTGTGGGGCGGGGGAAGAAAAAGGAAAGGAACGGGGGGGGGGGGGGGGGGGGGAAAAAAAAAAAAACCCCCCCCCGGACGCCCCGCCCCCCGCCCGGCGGTCTCCCCCCCCCGGGGGGGGGGGGGGGGAACCCCCCCCGGGGGGGGGGGGGGGGGGGGGGGGGGGGGGCCCCCCCCCCCTTTTTTTAAAAGGGGGGGGGGGGGGGGGGGGGGTAAAAAAAAAAAAAAAAAAAAAAAATTTTTTTTTTTTTTTTTTTAAATAAAAAAAAAAAAAAAAAAAAAAAAAAAAAAAAAAAAAAAAAAAAAAAAAAAAAAAAAAAAAAAAAAAAAAAAAAATAAATATTTATTAAAAAAAAAAAAAAAAAAAAAAAAAAAAAAAAAAAAATTAAAAAAAAAAAAAAAAATATTTTTTTTTTTTTTTTTTTTTTTAAAAAAAAAAAAAAAAAAAAAAAAAAAAAAAAAAAAAAAAAAAAAAAAAAAAAAAAAAACCACCCGAGGTTAAAAAAAAAAAAAAAAAAATAATAATATAAAAAAAAAAAAAAAAAAAAAAAAAAAAAAATTTTTTTTTTAAAAAAAAAAAAAAATATAATTTTTTTAAATTTTTTTTTTTTTTTTTATATATTTTAATTTCCCCCCCATTTTTTATTTTTTTTAATTTTAGGAAAAATAGAAAAAAAAAAGAGAGTGTGTAAAAAAAAAAAAAAAAAAAGACAAGAAAAGCCCGCAAACAGCGGCTGGCTTTGTTTACTCTTCCACCCCAAAGCCCGGGTTTTTAAAATTGACCGAGTTTCGATGCCCTAATCGCGGAGTGATTGCAAGTGAAAGAAAGCTAGTCTTTTTTCATACTCGCATTTATAGCTAATGTTATTATTTAATCAGCATAGATGTTTGGAGAAATGGCGGTTAATTCGTTCGATTATGTCAACATGGACAGAATATTGAGGGTTCCAAACAACACTACCATATTCCAAAATGATATGATTTTAGGCTTTACATTTTTTAAACACTTAGTCGACCGCCTTATGAAACCTAACATTCTAGAAGCTTTATTGACTATTGCATTATAATGAGGTATGAACGACAAATTACTATCTAGTATTACTCCTAAATCCCTAATTTCATGGACCTGGAGTAGTAGTACTCCGTCGATAGTGTATTTAGAGGGGACTGGTAGTTTATTTTTAGAGAAAGTAATTTACGAAAATTTTTTGGCATTTAGAACCATTTTGTTATGATCGCACCACCTCTGTATATCCACTACGTCTCTTTGCAATAACTCCACATCTTGAGCGCTATTAGTTACTTTAAAAAATTTCATATCATCCGCATACAATGAAAAATTACTATATTTTACAAACGAACCAATATCATTTACAAAAAGAGTAAATAGGACAGGACCAAGATGAGAACCTTGTGGAACAGCTGATGTGGAAATGTATGATTGCGATTCTATACCACCAACTGCCACAAACTGAGTTCTATCTGTCAAATGTGACGCAAACCACTTTAATAACCACCCTCCAATACCATATAAGTAATCCAACTTTTTCAACAAAACACTATGACTAACTTTGTCGAAGGCACTAGAAAAATCTGTGTAAATACAGTCAATTTGTTTTCTCTCATCAATTGCATTTGCCAAAAAATTTACATACTCAAAGAGATTAGTATCAGTAGATCTTTTGGCACAGAAACCATGCTGAGCAGTATCTACAAAAACTTTACAGTGTGATTTGAGTATTGGGCATAGAAGCGATTCAAAAATCTTAGAAAATGTATTTAAAATAGAAATTGGTCTGTAGTTAGTAACAATATTTGTCTCACCCTTTTTAAATATCGGTATGATTCTAGCTTTCTTCCACATTGTCGGAAACGTGCCTAGTTCTAGTGATATATATATATATATATATATTCGATAAGTTGTTTCATTTGGAAATACTGAGAACCTATGGCGTTAGATAATTTCGTGGTGTATAATTGGCAAAAAAAATAATATCCAAAGTTCACGAATTTCAGTAATATATTATTGCAAGTAAGTAATGGCGTGACGAATGGAGTGGCAAGTTTCTTTGTATTTGCTTAACAAATTAAAGTAGTAGGTATGCAGTGGCACAAACAATATTATTTCGTACAATTTCTTATAAGGATTCCGTCATTATAAAGTACGAGTTAGTGCTTAAAGGGTTCTTGGAAGTTCAATTAGTTAGTGACGACACGATTTAACAGGAATTGCTAAGGTAACTTTATCGTGGCATGTTTCAGGCATTTGTAGGCTTTCGTCTGAAGACACCTAGTACCTAAATAGCCTATGTATTAGAATAACTAATTAATTAGGTATTTTTCACGTTAATTTTAATACATAAATCTTTTAGAACCCACCTTATATAGTCTCGAGCGATTAAGTACTGACCCTATGCATAAGATAACTTTTATTGCTATTTTATTACTATAGTGACATCACATCGCACGGTTCGAGTTCACCAATAACATGTCATACATCCATCGCCAAATACGTAAAGCTGCCAGAGTTTAGGTGAAATGACCATTGAGCATCAGCCGTACTTGCACAGTTCTCGTTCTTGGCAAATGCACAAATCGCAGGGTGTTTACTTATCTTCTTATTGGGACACATGGCACGGGTTATCTGGGGTCACGTTAGCGCTGTTTCTACAGGACGAGACAAACAATAACAGGATTTCTGCTCCACGTGGCGATATGTGACGATCACGACTTTAACGATTTTTGGCTCTTACGGGCGCCACGTGTAGCCATAGGTACATTTGATTATACCAATTTGTTTCGTTTTCCTTGCTAGATTGCACCGGCAATGCAGAAGATAGCGGAGACAAAGGTTGCGACTCCCGACCCGGCTCGAATCCCTGTTGTCACTATACGGAATCATTGTGCTTTGTCTTATCAGTTCACTGACTAGTGGCCAAACGCCAATCCGTTTCGAAGAACCGAAAGCGGAATCCGATCAAATCGACGCAACTGAATTAGTAATGCTAGCTTCTGTTTATTTCAATAGGAATGCAGCTAGCTTTTTGTTGACGGTCTTAAAAATAATATATTTTTATAAGATCACTAAATTATTTATGTACACACACATCTTTCGTTCAATGTACAGACAGGAATTCCTTTTCATTTTGCCATGTTGCATGAATATATAATTCAATCAAATTTTAAATAAATTTATCGCGCTTATCATTCGCGGGTCAGAATTAAGTGTTAGTGATAATGGTGCATCGCTATTCTCTATCAGCTTCTAAATGATTCCAAAATTTTGGCTCATTCGCTTGTGGGTCGACCGTTATCTGCAGTTGACACGTGTAAGCTCACTTCCTACCTAAAATTCGCCCAATATTGTTACTTCCGCGGAAGGCTTCGAGACTGAAGGACTGTATTTATTTTACTTTCAAAGTTTATTCCTCAAAGTTGTTTAGTAACATTCATTTATATTACTCGACTAGACAACAGACACACGAGAGTTTATTGCCGCCTCGTGTTCGTTACGACTGGCGTCAAATACGACGAACAAAGTAAAGTGTACTTTACAATTTGTTCTTAATAAACAGAACGTGCAAATCCCCGTTAATCACTTACTATAACAAATTCTGAACTCGGCTGGCTCTACTACTACTTGTCTAAATATAAATTAGTTAATTTACTGGAAATCTGTCAGAAAGTTAAAAATGTCAAGCGAGGGTTAATGACATAGAGCTTAGTGGCTAATCGCAATATCGAGGCTCTACCGTAGGCGTGGCTAGCGGATCATCCGTCCACAGAGTATAATACACAGATGTGTCGCTGTATCTAACACACATCTCCGATTGAATTGAGACTCGGACACGTAAAAGAACACTTTAGTTGCGTAATAAAACTTTAGTTTATAATAAACACAACACGACAATTTTACTATTAAAATTATGTTCCCCTAAAAAACACCAAATTTTTTAGAATATTGGTGTTAACATATAAATACTATTAGAAAATAAACGCATACGGTTAAAGAGAGATAAATTTCCTTCCCGTTGTCAGATAACAATGTGTTAATTTTAGAAGAACAAAGGACTCTGCACGCTGCTCAGATCTCGGGCCAACAATCTTAAATGGTTCACAGAGTAATAAAGATTGTCTGTTCATTTTATATTTGTCAAATGATAGCGCTGAATTGGGAAATCTAAAAGTATATTAGGTAATTAATCGGATCGCTCGTATTATAATCAAAATGTTACCTTATTTTAAAGGTTACACGTGTTTTGGATTCCAACAATCAACTTGTTGATAAACCTTATCCATAGCTGAATTTTTGATACTGATACGTAATTAGTAGATGAGATATTTACATTATTTACTTCTATATGAAATCGTTGCATCCGTGAGGTTTGCTCCTCGGAGGCATCGTATGATTACACGAGTGGTAACATTTCGGGAGTATTTATAAGACGGTGCGCGCTCGAGGCGGGCAGTGTGTGACGATGGCGCGGTATGTGATTAGCGTAATTACTGTTCTCTGTGTGGCTTTCGGTGAGTCCGTGACTTATTTTAAACATGGATATTCCACAAAAACAAAAATACATTTTTATTTATCACTTTAATTTAAATGTTATATTAAATCGCAAATTTTAGATTAATATTCAAAGTAATTGTTAATCAGATACGACAAAAACTTAATGTATTCTATAAGAGCGGAAACTTAAATTTGTGTGCGTCTTGCATAAAATTATCCGCAAAAATATTGTGTAATTATGACAGGTGATAAAAATAAATTGTTCTCAAATATATGTAATGAATTAAATTGATAATTCTTATATAATTTATTTCACACGAGTAGTTACCTAATTTGCATATTAAGACCGTTCAGCGAGATTATTTTAATTTATTACAATAATGTAAGTCAGGCCTAAACACATATTTATTAACTTTTTAATTTATTAATTAATATAGAACTATGCTAAGAAATTAAGTCACATTGACTGGCAAAATAGGAACAAAAGCGCGGTCTGGGTCTAGACTGTCGAGTGGAGGAATGTTGCAGGTAGATGTAGCTGATTGTGCAAGGTCACCCCGCGTCCATTTATCACTGCACTGGGCCACAGGGCAACTTTCCGAACAAATATTATTATAAACTCAATTTCTTCGTTATCAATAAACATATTCGGGAATAATAAATAGCAAAGGAATGTTTGTTTACGAAACAATCTTAAAGCAACAAAAAGTTACCATTACAGAAAGTAATGTGCATAATGCACAATTATTAAGAAGTGATCTTTCAAGACGTCACAAACATTATACGTGTAACAATCAAGTTACATATACATATATATATATATATATACGCTTACTCCTCACTCCACACAATTACTATTATTAAAGCTATCCACGGTCCGCTTCACAACACACTTTTTTTAAAATAACGAACTATGGAATCGACTCCCAGTGAGAATCTTCCCTGGGAGATACAACCTCCATGAATTGTTTAGAGAAAAAGTATACTTCTCAAAGGCCGGCAACGTACCCACTAAAATGGGTGTCCATGGTCTTCAATGACTGCCCCTTTTGGGCGTCCCGTAGGCTCGTTATACAGCTATATAACTAATAGCTATTAGTAAAGAGAGATAGTTAGCAAGGTTCATCTCTAACTTAAACAGAAAAAAGTCGAGTGTTGTAGTCATGTTTATTGAAATGTAGAAATAATAATAAAAAAATGATAATATTCATAATCACATTAATTTCGTAGCTCCGTAGCATATGCTACGGTGTCCGCTACACAATGTACAGAAATTCATTTACTTACAATTTAGTATTTTTTTTACAATTTAGTACTTAAGTTGGCTCTTTATTGCCACTAAATTAGGATTGTGATGTTTATATATACACACACATAAATATATAGCAGTATAATTTATTGATTACGGCAGCAAAAACGATTTTTTGTTAATATACAAATCGCACCGGTTCGCTCTCACACTAAGGTCGTTCTCGACACGTGTCAACCGGTTTAATAAATACTTATTGCCGTCAAACCATACCAAAATAGAATTGCCATTCGACCCTGTCTAATGATATTTACTGTTTTATATACAAGAAGCGAATAGAGATTTCCGTAAACAAGAATTATTGCACGATAGCATCTATTCTCACGATAGTTTCTATTGTTTCAGGCCATGTTAGCACTAGGTCAACAGAATGTGACGTGCAAACGCGCATCGAGAGCGGTTTAATTTGCGGCAGCCGAAGGTGGGCGGGAGGCAGCACGGTCTACGCCAGCTTTAGGGGAGTTCCCTACGCTAAACAGCCGCTGGGAGAACTTCGGTTTAAGGTGAGATTCTGTTCTTTTGCTGAGTTTCTTGCCCGTTCTTCTCAGAACAAGGCCTCCTGGTAGTTTTGCGAACGGATGGCGTAGTCTTGCTCTTTCGTGAATTTTGTAAACGTTGTTGACATTCATAAGCATGCTCTAAGAAGCATCTAAATTGAATAAACGTATTTTGATTTTGATTTTTTTTTGATTTTGATTTCCTCTCCAATTAAAGTTTCACAAGAAACATTATACAAAATATTTCATAAAATTATTAACATGAGTGTCCGTCTTTTATTAGTCTAACGTAACTAATAAAAACTAAACCGACATTTTCTTTAACAACTTGTGACTATCTCACAGGAGCTCCAATCGGCAGACCCATGGGATGGATATTTAGACACAATAGTGGAAGGTCCAATCTGCCCTCAGCACGATGTGCTATATGGTAGATTGATGCAGCCCAGAAATATGAGCGAAGCCTGCATCCAGGCTAATATCCACGTGCCCATCCATGCGCTGCCGGGTCCCTACCAGCAGAAAGCGAATCTTCCTATCTTTGTCTTCGTGCACGGAGGCGGCCACGCGTATGGCTCTGGGGACAGTGATCTCCACGGCCCAGAATATCTTGTGCAACGAGAGATGATTGTCATCACATTTAATTATAGGTGAGTTATCAAGCACTAATAGTGAATTAGTATGATTTTTCAAAAGCAATCGAACCGTATATTGTTTTTCAATAAAATCATGAGCGAAAACGATTACAGCATCCGAGAGATAAATTATTGTTTTTTATAGTCTCACAGATTTATAATAACAAGTAGGTACTCGGTAGACTAGATCAAAACGTATTCAGCAAGCATAGTGTATAAGGTTATCTAAGAGAATAATCGCGGTACACGCATCAGAGTATTTAAACAAACTAGACCTGTGATGAATTTGCTTTATTCGCTTGATACGTTGGAAATAGGTTTTTTTGTTAAAGCGTTGGCGAGTAAGAAATAACATTCAGTTAAAACAGAATGAATTGAAAATGACCAAGAAAATTGATATTTATTATCACAGTAGGTAGTCGTACCTATTACAAATCAATAAACAACTAATAAACAATTTTAACTGTAACATTAATATGACTTCGTTCTATACAGCTTAAATTTTTGTAGAGTGTTAAATTCTTAATGGAATATAGTAAGCGACCAACAAATTATCAAACATTACTTTTTTATATTTCAGATTAAACAATTTGTTTTTTATTGAAATTAAGTTTTAACAATCTCCCTTTTAATTATAAAGTGGGCGGGTCTGACTGGGTTCTGTAGGGCAGTGATAAGGATGTTAATGTTGATGTGGGCCAAGAGCGGCGCTCGCGCAAGCACTTGTTTGTAAACAAACGCAGCACGTGGACGTTGCATAATAACAATTAAATTTTCCGTTTAGTGGTGCCTCTTATTTATCATGTTACATAATTTAAGTCCACTCTGATAATTTTTCATATACTTATTTGTGTTTAATATCGAAAACGCTACTAAGATTTTGACCCTCTGACACATGGATCAAATATTGACCTTGGTTTGTCCAAAATAGTGTGAACTGGCTTTTTGCTACTACGGCAAAAAAATCTATCGAATCTTATTATACGACAGGTTTGACTGCTTACGAATTATGTAAAATATAATTTATACATAATACGCTTATTTTACTGTTAAAAGGCCCCATTCAACGCTAAAGGCCGCTTCACACATATCAGTGAAGCCACGGTTCCGTCAACATATCCGCTCAGTTCAGTATCAGTGATACAGTATTGCGTCAGTCATTCAATTCACACATGTCAGTACTCAGTTTACGGAGCTTCAGTGAAAACGTGTCCGTCGCGTTGTCAAGTAACGTGATAATGGCTCTGTTGAATACTATGGAGCTAGCAATGATAGCTGTTGCTTTAGACGAAGAAGAAGAGCAGCATCAAGGAAAAAAAAGAAAATGGGTGCATGAAGCATGGCAATTAAGAGAGACGGAAGGAGAATTCATCATATTATACAAAGAATTAGTTAAAGAAAATATTTTAAAATGTCAGAGAGCTGCTTCAATATTCTTCTGCAATAAATAAAATGTAACAAATAATAACGCGGCGTCAGTGATCCGACAAAAAATATCGTTGTCGTTTAACGAATCCGTCCGCGATTTCCGGTGTCGGCACTGACACTGAGAGCACTGTGTCGTCACTGACACTGACAAATGGGGATGCGTTCATAGAGAATGTATGAAAGAATATTTCGCACTGTGCCGGTACTGTGTCGGAACTGTGGCTTCACTGATATGTGTGAAGCGGCCTTAAGAGCCAGCTACGACTAAATTCAGTATTGTCATTTCGAATTAGTTAAAATTTAAAATACCTATAATATATGTTATATACAGTGGAATATCTATAACTCGAACCTCGTTAAGTCGAAATCCTTAGTAAGTCGAAAAAAATTGCCATTCCCTTCCGCTGAACCCTTAAATACGCGGTATCTCGAATTATTTAAACTTTGTAACTCGAACAAAATGTTAATTCCCTACGAAGTATTGATAATACATATTTATACTCTATAACTCAAATTTCAAAACGGATACTCCGTAAGTCGTAGTTAGTAAAATAAAATGACGTCTTACTTGGAATTGCCCGAAATATTGGTATGTTATCTAAAGCTGGCGGCTTCAACACATTTACACTTTGTGCTTGTGTAGTGTCTGTGAATAAGCGCGAGGCGTGGTGTCACACTGAATATGCATCATGAAAAGACTGTCCGTCTCTCTCGCGCTCGGTCAAGCTTATGAGTATAAATCTTTACTGTACATGTTGATCTTTTTTCTCATTATTATTTTGACTGTGATTCTTATTTCGATGGAGGTTAGAATACTTTGAAAAAAATGTCTTATGAAATATATTCCGTCGAAACATTAACAGGACAATCTCGTGAAATGCTGTACAATGTTTTTAATTATTTTAAGCATCTTAATAAAAAAATGTAGTTTTTAATTTGACATCAGGTTCGACTGGTGTTTCTAAGAGGAGTATTGAAATAATTGGTTAGTGAAGTAAAAGTGAAGTGTGTTGAGCTAGATGGAGCTTATGTCGAAAAATGAAAAATTATTTACTCAAACTACTCTTTTACGTTCTTGGTCGGGCTTAGAACTTTTGGATCCACCCTCGTATGCACATAATATTTATATCTATTTGACACATTTTTATTTATTTACAACCCACCCAACCTTACTAAAACCAGAGTAGACTAAATATAGCTTGGCAAAAAAGTCATATTTTTAAAGATACTGTATAGTGAAATTGCATTAGAGTACTGTGAACGCGCCAGCTTTCGAAAACCGATCTATAGCAATAAATATAGACCTATACAATAATAATAGACTCTACAAATCAAAAAATACACTTAGAAATCTCACCTCTGTAATTCGAAATTTCAGCAAAATCAAAATCAATCAAAATCAAAATACGTTTATTCAATTTAGATGCTTCTTAGAGCATGCTTATGCAGTATAATAGCAGTATAATAGGTATCTAGAAGTTCTTGTAAAGTCGATTTTTTTTGCATTTCCTTTCACATTCGACTTATCGAAATTCCACTGTATATTAAATTATCGAAGATTACTTTGTCTATATCTATCAATGCAAAGTAATACGTTGCGCTATTAAGAATCGTATCAGTGAGTTGATAGAATTGAGTATGTCGTTTCAATTCTTATAGTCGACAAAGAAATTCCTAAGCGTTTATAGAATTACGGGACTTGTACGACCTGTGTGTGAAGAACATGCTCTATGTAAAATAGAATAGTGGGATTTGCACGTATTAAACTATTACGAAGACTATCAGAACATAATTAGTAAAATTACAATTGTTCTTTGAGCAACAATGTTTATTTCTTTTTAATTTCATTAGAATTAGAATATATTTAAATTAAGTATTGCAAAAGTTTTTGTTTATAATTATTTTCAGGTTAAACGTGTTCGGCTACCTTTCCCTTAATTCATCAAGTATTCCGGGTAACAACGGCCTTCGTGATATAATTACCCTGCTTCGCTGGGTGAAAGCAAATGCTAAATGCTTCGGTGGAAACCCAGCAGACATTACCCTAGGCGGACAAAGTGCTGGAGCAGTCAATGTTCACCTTCTAACCCTGTCTAAAGCCGCGGAAGGGTTATTTAACAGGTATGTTCTACATTGTTCTTTATTGTGACGGTGGTGCCGAGGGGCACAGGGTTGTTATAGTAAAAAGTAAATCAAAAAATGGGTACGTAACACTACTTGATATTGTGGCAATCGAAGCATATTTTAATTAAGATAAAGAAACAAAATAAAATGCTTTTTGCATATTTAATGTTTTCGAGAATATTAAAAATTTGCTATTATTTGCTAGTGACAAAGCTAACACAAATATACGTTAATTTCAGAGCAATACTTATGAGTGGGACGGCGATATCTAGCTTTTACACCAGTTCACCCATCTTCGCTCAGTTCGTGGGAAAACTGTTTCTCACTAGCCTCGGCATCAACACAACAGACGCAGAAGAAGCTCATCATCAACTTACACAATTGCCCTTAGAGCAGATCATGCAAGCTAATAAGTTAGTACAAGACCAAATTGGGATCACCGCATTCTTTCCGGTAGTAGAAACTACTTTACCCGGAGTCACTACAATCATCGACGACGATCCAGCAGTCTTGTTAGCCAACGGCGTCGGAAAGGATTTGCCGTTATTGGTTGGCTTTACCAGCGCTGAATGTGAAACATTCCGACCGAATTTCGACAATTTAGACATGCTGGCTCGAATACAAGAGAATCCACTTATGATGCTACCTATTGATTTGATATACAAACTTCCACCAAAGGTATCGTTAGATTCAGCGCAAAAACTGGAGAAACGATACTTCAATAAAGCACCGACGATGGATAAATATATAAACGCTTGCTCGGATATGTTTTACGTCTACCCCGCGTTACAATTGGCGAAAATGAGAATGTCGACGGTCGATGCAGCGGCCATGTTTCTCTACCAGTTCTCGTATGATGCAGTGTTTAACGTCATCGAGAAAGTGAAGGGAATCCAGTTCGATGGGGCAGCTCACATAGAAGACCTGACATTTATTTTCAGGACAAATTCATTGCAAAACTGGCCAGGTTTCAGCCCACCGGCCAACGAGGACTTGACAATATCCGTGTGGATGACGAACTTTGTGCAAAACTTTATGAATTGCAAGTAAGTTATGCAAATAATGCAGTGCACATAAGAAAATGTTTCACACCATTACTATACATTAAAATCATCTCAACAACCAATAAAATGTAGTGAACAATTATAATTTTAGGTATTTCTGCTAACAGTTAAATATTTTTATTGCAGTGAACCCACTTGCGAAGGATATCATGTATGGCCGTCGGTCAACCAACGATCCAGTATACATTACCAGAACATTCAACACCCACAATTCTATAGATACGAGAAGATCACTCAGGACCAATTGGACATGATGCAATTTTTTGAAGAACTGCATAATAAGACCCAAACTTAAATTTTCAGTCAATGTGTGTGTGAGAACTAATTTATTCTAGCTTAGATTAGAAGCTTAATCTACACGAGTTTTTAAATATCAACATATCACTTGATCGTGTTTCATCATCAGAAGATCGTAAAAAATTTATCAATTTGAGAAACCTACGGAAGGGGAAAAACGCCAGATTTATCATGCATGAAGTTTTATATATTTAAGTGCCTAAATGTATTTATTATAATGAAAGGGCAACGTTGCGTTGATCGACAAACACGACGAATAATTAAAAATATATAAAATTAGGGCTTAGACCGAAGAACAAGCATTGTACCAAATTTTGATCTCTTTTATATAATCATTTACGTTTTCATAATAATAAATTATGATCGATCTAATAATTTTCATACATGAAACCCAATTTGTGTTTATCACGTTGGCCAATCTGGATAGAAATCCTCATTTAGTCATGATTATTAATGATGTATGTATGTATTACAAATTTACCTATTTAATGTGAATCGAAATGTGATAAATGATGAGTCAATCATAATTGTAAGTAGTTGTTGCCTTTGAGTGACATTGGAGTGTTTGTGACAGTTTGTTGTGATAGTGTAATAATAATTCCGAATGATTACTAATGATAAAAGTATTAATTAAAACTTTTGGTTTATTTATTATAAAACAACAATTTTACTTCATAATATTATATTAGCGCGTCATCATAACAAATAATTAAGTATTACAATATATTTACAATCTATTCATTTTTATAGACACTCTATTTGATTTTGTTTCAAAGATTAAGTTTGTGTAATTTGCAAATGCATCATATTTGTCGAGTATTCTACGGTTTTGACTGAAAAGCAATTTTTTTCATATATTTGAGAGTATTTTAATTCATTAACACGTTTATTTGAAGTCCAAATGTACATTTCCAATAGAACTGAACAATCAAAAATATGAAATTAAAACATAAAAAAGCTCACGGACTGCACACGTAGTAACAGGTACAAGCTGATTTCGCGTACAAACTGATCGGATCTAGATTGCCCATACAATATCAATTACCTTCCCACTGCGTTACGGTGATGGGCACCGCAAATTATGGAAAGTTTGCACTATCTATTTGATAATTGGCAGTGCCTGTGTACATTCATAATGACCCATTGCGGTACTATGGATAAGATAAAAAATTATTTTGGCTCGGAAGTATTTCATCCGTGACTAAAAGTGTAAACAGAGCATATAAATTTTAAACAATCAACTAATTAGTTGTGCTCGGTATAAAGTAAAATATGAATTACGGGACTATTTGTACAAGAAATGAAGTTTTATTAAAATATATTAAAATAAATTAAAATTGCTGAGACCATATTTAAGTCGTATGTATGTACTTAGTTAATTTAAAGTTAGTTAAAATAAATATGGGAATGGATCCACATAAAGGGAGTCATATAACACAAAATTGAGTGAGATAAATCTAAACGAGGTCCGTTACAGGCTGCTGCGCGCCATTTCACATTCATCTCAACAACTAAACAACCAATTACTTTCTATTGGTTTTTACATTTCACATGCAACAGTGGTAAAGGAAGGTTGTAGAGTAATGTCTCTTTTGACATTTTATTGTGCCTTTACGTTATGTGTGCATTTATCATTACAAAGTATTGTAATGATGGCCCAGGGAAAGATGCGGGGGCTCGAACGCGATGGGTATATTTCTTATCTTGGCGTGCCCTATGCTTCAGCAAAGGAAAATGGAAGGTATAAGGTATAGTTGATTATCATGCGTTCAATATAATGGGCTCCCCGAGAAATTATGCAACGGGACTTCTAGCTTTCTCACTGAACGGAGCATCAAGGTCGTCATCGACGGAGCATGTTCCGACCTTAAACCCGTGAACACAGTGTCCCACAAGGCTGTGTCCTATCCCCAACCCTGTCAATTCTTCATATAAATGATATGTATAGTTCGCATAGTGTATTACAACCACAGCACTGGGGATACTCTTTACACTGGCCGGGCAGGCATTTATCTGACAGTTGTCAATGAGTACCGTAACAAATTAGTGTCGGAAGTCGAAACTCTGCTGCGTGAAGTCTTAGACTGGGGTAGACTAAATCTAGTCCAATTTAACCCCAAGAAGACACAAGTTTGCGTATTTTCCGCAAAAAAACAACTTTTGTCGCGACTCCTTTCTTCGACACTCTCCTTAAAGCCTTAGCTAGCATCGGAATACGGGGCGTCGACATATCGAATGACGTTCAGTTTCGCGGTAATTTTGAAGGAAAGGCTAAGTTAGCCCCTAAGAAGCTTGGTGTGCTTGCAGCTTTTTATAGCGTAAATTCGGTCCAACATGGAGTACTGTTCTCACCTCTGGGCGGGAGCGCCCCCGTTACAGCTCCTTATGCTTGATCGTATTCAACGAAGAGAGATTTGAATGAACCAGTCATTTAACAATAATAGTCGGCTTATGCATGTTTTAAAAGTTTTGACGCCTTATTAAAAATGAATAGCAAAGTTTGTTCCTTATTTTTATTATATAACTAGCAGACTCGGCCAAGCGTTGCTGCGGTTAAGGTTTTTGTTATATTACATCGTAGTAAACTATTCAAGGGTAGGAGAACACCAGTCATGGGGACCACCATGATTTTTTGGTGGTTATGCCAATAAATTGTAGCTTATGTGAAACGTTGGTACTTTCATCACAGCGCCATCTGTTAGAATTGTGACTGTCAAATAATCAACAAATAATCTACTATATAAAAATAAGTCAGGTTTTCCTTCCTGACGCTATAACTCCAGAACGCACGAACCGATTTCCACGGTTTTGCATTCGTTGGAGGTTCGTGAGGTTTATAGCAAAGAAAATTCAGGAAAAATTTCAACAGAAAAGCGGGATCACCAAACGAAATGTTACATAAAACGAAGCCATCTGGTGGCGAAACGGAGTTCGCCGAGTTTGCTAGTTTGAAATAAAATAATATTGCGGGTATAAATCAAGATGTAAGCTATCCTATCTTTTAAGTTAGATCAAACTGCACACGGTATGCAAATTTGATTGAAATCGTTTAAGTAGTTTAGGAGTCCATAGCGGATAAACAAAGTGACGCGTAATTTATATATATTAAGATTTATACATCTTCAATTTCCTTAAATAATTATAATGAATCGAAACAAAATATCATATCTATAGTTATATTTGGCATTTATTTCAATTATTTTAAAGTTACCTATTAAGAATAGAGAAAAAAATTTTTTTAAACTTTTTCGTGATGTGTGGTGATGAAATTAGAAAGCTGGAATAGCGCCAACGTGGACGGGAATAAGGGAATCCCGAGATCCTTACTGCACACCGCGCTCAGAGGTTGAAGATTGTCTACAATTGGATGTGCATTTACCAAAGGTGGGGAAATCGTTGCCCATTCTCGTCTGGGTGAAGGGAAGCAGCGGAGATTACCATCCTGGAAAGTTGGTTCAGGAAGGCATCATAGTCGTTATTGTACGACACAGGTATGATTAATCTAAAAAAAAACTACTTTTTTTATTTTCCTAATACTGAAAGTCTAAAAATACTTTAGGTTAGGAGCTGTGGGCTTTATGTGCTCGCAGGAAGATCAAATCCCTGGAAACGCTGGAGTGAAAGATCTTGTACTCGCCCTGAGGTGGGTTCGGGATAACATTGTTGCTTTTAAGGGAAATCCTCACAGGGTGGTCGTGGCCGGACAAAGCTTTGGCGCTGCAATGGTGGAGACACTTACGCTTTCCTCGATGGCCAGAGGTCTTTATCATGGAATAATATTACAAGGCGGCACTGTCTTAGCGCCGTGGGCGTTTAACTATGACGCAAATGATAAGACAGACTACATGAAAATTACCATGAACGGAACACAGTCACTGTTAAAATCAGCCATACCGGATGTAGTATCCAATTCGGAAGACCTCGACGTCCCATATTATCCATTTGGTATTTGCAAGGAAAAGGCGTTTAAAAATGAAGAAACGCTGCTTTCAGAAGCGCCATTCAATTCGTTTATAAAAGGGAAATTTACATCCGTTCCAACGATAATCGGATATAACTCGAACGAAGCTTATGTATTTGTGTCAATGTTAAAACAGATAAAAGCTGTAAAGAAAATGGCAAGGGATGTGATGTTCCTGCTTCCTATGGAGTTACAATTAACGAACGAACGAGAAATGCACCCGCTGAGTAAACAGCTAATGGACGCGTACTTTAAAGATAATATGAGTATCAGTTCACTGCTGGAATACCACAGGTGATTTGAAACTTAGTTTATGAGGAAATTAAGTAATAAATTAAGTAAATCAGCAGGTTTAATTTATGTTTTTTAAATGATGTAGAAACCTCTAAGGACTCTGATTCACAGCTTCTCTTGATAAAAAAATTGTGGGATGTTGCTTTAGGCCCACTCAAACCAATGAACCCCTTTATGTACATGGCAGGAAATTCAATTTCGATTTTCCCTATCATGATGGTGAGAATGTTAATTGTACGTCCTATAGGACTGAAGGCACTGTTTACTAAAGTACATTCAAAACGGTAGAAGGAACACAGGCTGTAGGACAAAAGTTTGTTTATATAATTGGTAATATAGTTTATATATTTTTTAGCATTTTTTCTTGTGTACCACATGAGATTAGTATTGATTTAGACGACTCAGATTAATAGATAAATATGTAGACTATTTATTAACACAGTCTACTATTTCAATGATAAAAAATGTGTGACTTTTAGGGATGTCTACTTCATGTGCCACATACATCGCAGTGCAATATTTCACGCAACCACTGGGCCGGTTTACTATTACCAATTCTCACATTCGGGAAGAGTTGGAGTTGAAATTGAGAGTGGCGTGGAGAAAACTGGCGCCGCTCACTCGGATGAACTGGGCTACCTCTTTCCAAACGATGTGGTTGACTTTGACGGGGACGACGCGACAGTTCATCAGCATCTTACAAAGCTGTGGACTAACTTTGTTAAGAACCTGTAGGTTGCTCAGAAAATGCAGTACCTAATTTTAACGTTTATTCAGCTGGAGTTCAGTCGCATGCTTTGCCTCCTGAGGAGTGGACTGTGGAGTTAATTAACGTTGCATCTCTAGTAATTTAATTGTTTTGTGCCAATATTGGAATTTGATTCACAGGCATCACCCTTATATAGGTATCGTTCTGTTGGTGCCAATGTTCGGTTAAAATATATGTCTGTCGAAAAATTTATACTAATATTATTAGAGCTTCAGTGTTTGTTTGTTTGGTAAAAGGTGCTTATCCCAGGAACTACTGGTCAGAGTTGAAAAATATAAAGTAATATGGATAAATCAGCAGGGCTGTAGTTCTTATTTATTGAAATTATGTTTTAGAAACCCGAATAGTGAACATAATGGATATCAGTGGAGCCCTCTAGATCCTTATGAGCCTCGACTACTGGACATTCAGACAGAGCCAAGAATGATAGATTTTCCGCACCATCGACACGCAGAGATGTGGGATGAAATATATGAAAAGTATTTCTTCAGAAGACATTAATGTTTATACAAGTTTTTTTTAAATTTTGTTTACATCAAATTAAATAAAGCTAGAAAAGGTCTCCGCTTTATTATATATATTGACAAAATATGTTTATTTGTAAGAAATACCTAAAAACGGTTTTTGCTTTAAGAAACATCAATATCAAGCGAATTAAAACTTCTTACCTTTTTGATTTTAAAAGTGTCCATTTCTCAAATATTTAACATAGTGCACGTTTCACCAATGGCTTACCTATAAAGAGAAAAAAATATTAGTTAAGATAGCTAAAATTAATAATGAAATTCATGAGCCGACAAAACTTTAGTATATATTGTATCAATATATATAGCCACCAAAATATTTAACCAATATGAGAGATTATCTATCCTATATTTCGTTACAAGATAAGCGCTTACAAAGCTACGTCTATCTTATCACGACAAGTGTTTCTGATGATCGTTCGATAGAGGCTGAAAGCTCATGATACAATCACGTTAACAAGTTCGTATAACAATTTTTTTAATCCCAATTTACGATCGGTTGGGTAAGACTTTAGACAATAATAGTATTTTCCTGATTGAAGTTAATATGTTAACACACAAATGAAAAATAGACACATCATCGTCACTGATTTGCTAATACGCCCTAATGCCCTCGCTAGTCAGTTTAAATATACATAATTTCTTTATAAATGATTAATTCAGTGAAACATACAATTTTCAATACGAAGCTACACAAAATTTTTCACCTGACTGTACCCAACGTGATTGAATATGTTATATGTAGAGGAGCACTCTGTTTTATTGTTTTCATTTTGACTATCACAGTTCAAACACATGGTAACTCTTTCGGAGCATATTGAATAATATCGTGTTGAAATGATAATTCTACTTTGTTTGTTAATTCCGGCCTACGCTTTATCTGTGGAAAATAATGTTAGCGGGAGGCAGGAAGTAGATCCTATTACAACTGAGAGTGGACCTGTTCGTGGTGTGGCACTCGGCCAAACGGATATCCTACAATACTTTGACATCCCTTATGGACAATTCGACACCAATGATCCATTTCAGGTATTTCATTGAACATCTTTTCACGTGTGTGAAATGACTTTTCACTTTAATTTAATTTAGCCAACGCAGGACCATTACGTTAGTATCATATATTAAGCTTCATTTTATATATTCTATATCTACTCATACAAAATCGATGGCATTAAAGAGTTATAACTGCATTAAAACTATACGACTATACAGATTACTTTATGAAATGACAAGTCCAGCTTATTTTGACTTCAAATTGTAAAAGGATTTCTTAAGATTTACTTGTGGCATGATTGGTTATTATATTCCTTTAAATTTCTCTTTATTAGGAGCCTGTCAAGCCAGAACCTTGGGAAACGATTCTGTCTAAGAACAAACATTCTTCTAAATGTCCTCAAATACAACAAAACGACGAGTATGTAGGCAACAATGATTGTCTTACACTCAGTGTATTTGCTAAAACCGGAGTAAAAAATGCAGACGTACTTTTTCACATACACGACGGCGATTTTGGGTCAGGAAGTGGAGATCCAGAAGTGTACAACCCCCAACAACTGGTCTCCGAAGGAATTATTGTCGTGCTACCCAACTACAGACTAGGAGCTTTGGGTTTTATGTGCTGGCAAAACGAAACAGTTCCAGGCAACGCTGGAATCAAAGATCTAGCATTCGCGTTGCAATGGGTCAAAAACAACATCAAGGGTTTTGGTGGAAACGCTTCGAATATTGTTGTAAGCGGTGTTGACACTGCTGGCATATTAGTTGATTTTCTGGTACTAGTAAATCAAACCTCAAAATACATTTCCAAAGGTATAACTGAAAGTGGTTTCGCTTTATCTCAAAAGGCTCTCGATAGAGATCCATTAAGAACAGCAGATGGAAAAGTTAACGCAAATGGCGGCGTACAGTCTATTATAACATCTGGGCGAGGAATCCATTTCAAACCTTGCATAGACAATAGTTTTATAACAAAATCCTTTTGGGGTTTGCTGCAGACACAAAAGATTGACATACCGCTAATGATAGGCTCTACTAACCAAGCTGGGATGGATTATGTGACTGACTTAAACGATGATAACATACAAGAGTTTCGAAATAATCTATCACTTATCTTACCAACCGACCTTAGGTTTGAGGGAAATCAAGAAAGAGAAGTTATTGAAAAAGTTAAAAGACAATACTTCGGTGATAGTGATATATCAATTAATTTATTGGAAAGACTATCTCTTTGCTTCACAGATTCGACTTATTTAAATCCAGGTATTCGCGAAGCGAGGCTATTAACTAAAGCAGGTGGAACGGTTTATTTTTACGAATTCTCCTACACGGGAGACAGGCAGAACCCTATTCCGGGAGCACCAAAGGGAGATTCTCTGCGTTATATCTTTACTCAAAGTACCACGCAACAAGAACACAAAGTAGAGACACAAAAAGGGAATGTCAATGAAAACGAATCAGCAGCAAATACAATTCGAACGCTTTGGACGAACTTCATTAGAAATGGGTATAGTTTAGTCAATTGCTTTTGTATATTGAAACCATTCGTGTATTTTAAAAACTTACATATATTTTTTTGTTTGCAGAATTCCCTCAGCTTCAAACGTTGATTGGAAAGCCTTTGATGCAACCGAAGGGAATGAAAAATCTTTAATGATAGGGGCAGAAATCACATTAACCAACAGACTTCACGTCGAGAGGATGAAACTTTGGGATGAAATATACGAACGACACTTTGTTGAAACCAATCTTGGCTCCACATTAAAATCTTCGATACTCGTTATCCTGATTAGTTTTGTCACATCAAACATAGCATTAACAACTTTATAAATTTAATTCAATTAAATATTTAATCAAATAAATAATTATTAATGAGCATTAGTGGTTTTACTTAGCCTAGTGTGTGTACAAACCATGATTTTGTTATTGTATTGTACAATGTTTTGACAACTCACTTCATATACACTTCCACCTCGTAGGTCATTTTGTATGGTGCATTCAGTACACTAAAAATGTTACTGGGAGAAATTATTTTAGTAATACTAATACAACATCTTGTCATCGGGTATGTAGAGTTATTGGCGCGTCACTGGGATGTCAAAACAACCCAGGGAATCGTGCGAGGGTATTACAAATCAAACCCACCGCATTTCGCATTCCTTGGAGTGCCTTACGCCCGCCCGCCCACTGGCTACGACAGATTTAAGGTCAGCAAACACATTTGTTAGCGCCAAATCCATAAAGTTATCGAATTTGTGTGATGCGTCATGACAAATAGCAACGACTTAATTTTCTTTTTGGTATTTCAAATAAATATACTATTCATACTACATTAAATTTCGGAAGTGTGATTTCAATTTAGAACAGTCAAGGTAAAATTTGGATACGTTTATAAATAATTGAAAATAATAATTTAGTTACAATATGATTTCAACATGGTTATAATCTTCATTTTTATTTTATTAATTATTATTATTATATTTATGTTAAATTTGAAAAGTTACTTGATGAATTAACAAATTAGAAGTGTTAATGTTCCACTCAGCATGATGTTCACTCAGTTCCATATTAGATCTTTGGAAAACAATTTATGACGCTTCAATTAAACTATACGCATCAATATTTAATAATAGTGCAAAGGCTTGTCTCATGGCTGTAATGGATATTACGCGTCAACAAAAATAAATATTAAATAAAAAAGAAATAGCATAATATCTTGAATAGCCTCTTGAAATGTTTATTCTATACCAAATCTAGTGCGGCAGTAAGTTTAGAGGCCGAGAACATAACTATCAATGATTTTGTGGTTCCAATCTAATCAATTTCGCAAACTATTGCTTTCCTAACGTAAATTCAGACAAAATGTTAAGTTTACAGTTGGTACTTCCATAAAATGTTCTGTTAAAATATCAATTCAAATTAAAGTATATATACTAGTGTGAGTACCAAAACATGGTGTTTCTTACAAACACTACTGTAAGTTTTTTTCTATAATAAATATCAAACTGTATAGTTTGAGACTAAATTATTGATAATGAAATAAAGAAGCAAAAAATTTATGAAGAAAAATTTATTACATTTATTTACAGGCACCTAAGCCTCCAGTACAATGGGATGGTATATTTGAAGCTATATACAGATTAAAATGCCCACAAGATAATGAAAATGGAAGTGAAGACTGTTTAGTATTAAATTTTTTTATACCAGACAATCTAACTAATATGCCAGTATTAGTACATTTTCACGATGGATTCTTTCAAAGTGGGTAATGTATCAAAATTAAATATCTATACATTTTAGAGTTATTTAGGAATTGGATATTAGCACATAACTTTGTAAGATTTCTAGATTCTTGCAAACTTTTAAACAAAAGAATTGGAATACACTGTTTTCTACATATGCAATTTTAAAATCAACTCTGTTAGAAATACTTTTCTTTATTTTCAGCTGGGGCTATCATCATCCACCACCATATTTTATTAAACAAGGGATTATTGTTGTGACAGTTAATTACCGAATAGGTGCTCCAGGTTTTCTCTGTCTACAATCACCAGAAATTCCTGGAAATGCAGGTTTAAAGGACCAAGTAGCCGCACTATACTGGATACACAGAAATATAATTAAATTTAATGGAAATCCTCAATACATCACTGTTTACGGAACTGGGAGTGGCTCAGTCTCTATTGAGATTCTTTTACTTTCTGGGATAGCTGATGGTTTATTCCAGAAAGCTATTTTAGAATCAGGGTCAGTTTTATCACCTTCCTCTATAACATATAGTCCTGTAGAAATTGCAATGAATGCAGCAATAGAACTGGGTTATCAGGGAGATAAAAACACCAAAAGCATGGAAACATTTTTTCAAGCCATATCTGTAATGAATTTTCTTAACATAACCTCAATATTTGTGCCCTGTATTGAGAAAATTACATTATATTCTCTTTTTAATGATGATCCTATGGACTTAATAAAATTTAAAAAATCAGTACAAATACCAATGTTAATTGTTTATAGTGACCCAAAAGAAATAGATTTGATTGATAACAACAAAATATTTCAAACCATACCAGAAAATTTTGGACACCTGTTACCAAATAATTTAGCTATAGATACATCTGTACAAGAAAAAGTTGCGAAACTGACAAAAGGTTTTTATTTTGGTAACATTCTCACAGAGGAAGATATAACTCAATGCTATAGAGATTATGTAAATGACATTTTTATGGAATACCCTGTTGTGAAGTCAAGTGCATTTTATGCATACAATAACAGCAATCCAGTGTTTTTGATGAAATTCTCACAAAGAGAAAACGAGCATGCTTTTAAAGGCAATTATGGAAAAGTTTTAAAATTAGTTTTTTCAGACAAAGTTGACAATTCACATGATATTGGAGATATTTTAAAGAATATGTGGAGTAATTTTATTAAATTAGGGTAAGTGTCAAATCTAAAGTGAATCACACTGACAACATATAGAAAGATATATTAGAAAGAAAGATGTTTAACGGATAACATTGTAAAAAAACACTACCTAATTGCCTATTTCTATTTTAGTGATCCTACACCAATAACCACATCTCTTATACCAGATGTGTGGATGCCGGTTGAGCCAAATATTATAATTGATGAAAAAGTCAAATACCATAAAATAAACTACTATGAATGTGGTGAAAAGAATAAAAATAAAGAAATAACAACACAACAGTTCACCTTTTGGGAACACATTTATATGAAATTCTATAAAAATCATAAATATTTTAAATAGCTATATAATTATAGTATATATAATATAGGCAAAGCTTTCTGACTAAATAAATTTAGTACAAAAAATCTCATTAAAACACTCACTAAACAGTGATACTATTTCTATATAGATAGTTTGGACCTAGTATCATAAACGTAAAACATAACACGTAGGATGTTCATTTATAAATACAGAAATAAACAAAAATGTAGAATTTCATGATGGTGAATATTAGCGAACATGAAAACATCTGAACATGATGAAAATGAAAAAGGAAATATGATGAAATCAATATTCAATAATTTACGCCTAAAATGTAGTATCATAAAGTTATTATTCTCAATCAATACTAATCCATAAAAATTAAAATGGTCCACGAGAACTTAGTACGTCGTCAAAATAAAATATACCGTTACCTGGTCGATCGCGGCCCGAAAACGGGAAAAAACTGTTCTGACTTCGGATATTTAATTGTACGACTGTTTCATATCCGCTTAACGTTTTTAATTATCACTTTTCACTTACTTTTTATTGAATTTACTTTTAATATCAACAAGTAAAATCCCAAGACAAAACATGAAACATTTTATGGACTTGTGTCTGTCAGATTCTAACAGTATACTCAGTACTGACAATTGACGGAGTTGATTAATAAAATGACAGTTATAAAAAAGACACAATACAGAGTGCTCTTTAATTTATTTATTCTGTAATAAATTAGAGTTCTAGATAATTCTATAAAAGAGAAACTCAAAACGTAACTCTAAAAATATTTAAAAAAAATTTCATGTGCATAAACGTACGGTGGAGGAAAACATCGTGTGGAAACCGGCCTGTCTTAAGACCAAAGAATCTGTAACGTCTTTCATGTGTCATCTCATCGCTCAAAGCCTACTTAATTTGTATATAAATAATAAAATATTTATATACATAAATATTTTAAATATTTAAATTTTTTTATACATAAATATTTTAAATATTTAAATTTTTTATTATAAATATTTTATTTATATATTATATTATATCTAATATAATATTTGTATATTATATTAGATATAAAGATTTATACTATGAGACAATCACCACATATATTTATTTTAGTTTTTTTTAACCACAAAGTAGCAATTACCATTATTTATTTGGATAAAACCCTCCTTGTCTCCATGACATTTGCTATAGAATTTTAAAAGGCGCGCCGCTTTTTGTTGTGTTTTTGTTCAATTACCGATACTTTTCTTTCCTGACTTCGAACTAAATAAAAACTTAAAAAAAATATTTTTGTATTTTACTGATCCCTATTGACCATTCGTTGTGGTCTGTTTTATTCAAAAGTTAACAGACACAAGTTTTTATTTACTTCTACACTATGAGTTTAATAATTATGGGTATAATTTGTTATGATGACTGATAAAGGAAAAGAAGTTAAGTAAATGTTTTATAATCGTTTGCTTTTGTTTTATTAGCTAGATAAAATAAATGGTACTACTCCTTAAACATTTTAAATTTTTAAAAAAAATCAAAAATACATAAAATAAATTTTATTAAATCATTCGTAACAATAAAACTATACTTAGTATATTTTTAATTCTACAAAGTCATTATATCACAAAGTGCTTAAACAATTTATTAACTTCGGTATCTATTTAAATCTAAAACAAGATTATAAAACATATAGGTAATTATGTAAATACTGCTAAATAACAAGGAATAAATGTGTATTGTGTGGCAACATCCTCAGTCTACTAGTGTTACAATTTTGTATCAAAGCATTACCTTAAACCAATATCTAATATAAATGTTTTATATTGAATTAGTAAAATCAGGTGTTTGTGTTAATTTTTGTTTTTTTTTGACAGAGGCAAAAATCTTCGTTTAAAGACGTATATTTTTATTGTAAAAATGATCAATAATTTTTTTTATCACTTTTAATGAGAAATGTCGAAATCTTGCTATTGTCGATGTTTTAGCATAGTATTCCTATAAAAGTACTTAAAATAGGATTTTGGTAGCGGTTGTATCTTATGATAATACAAAATATCTATAGGTAAGCCTTCAACTTTAATGTTTGGTTCATGGAATGTTGGAAACTAATTTCTATTGGCAAGATCTTATACATAAATATTCCTATTACTAATTATTACAATATTTTAATCGTAATATGGCTCTGAACTTTTTTATTACAATTGTTTTGTTTATTATTTTCAAAGTCAACCTCAAGGCGTTTCACAAAAAATCTAAATAAATGAATATTTTACCTAAATGAAAACATTATTTATTTACATGCAACACTCGCTATTGTCTATGGCGGTAGTTTTGCGCCAACCAAAGAGGAAATAGCCGACCGCCAAACCGAGCGCCAACCCAAGACACAGCCAAACATTATACGTCATGAATACCAACATGAGGATATATGACACCCAGGCTTGTATAAAATACAGGACGGTCTGGTAAATGTGGCCACTTGAAAACATCGTATATCTGAAAAAGGACACAAATATAAGTACAGTGTAAACTCTTTATAACGTGTTTCCTTATAACGAAAATCTCTCTATTACACAAAATTTAAATAAATTTGTTTGGTTGAACACAACCCTATACATTAATTTTGACGATGTGAACAATGCTCTGTCTTCGATTGTCCATTGGTTTAGTATGAATAGCCTTCTACTTAATGCAAAAAAGACAAAATGCATTAAATTTTGTGCAAAAAATGCAAGGGTTATGGATACTAGACCAATTATAAACGGTGAGGAATTGAATCTGGATGATACAACTGTATTTCTCGGAATCACCATGGATTCAAAACTTCAGTGGTCCCCTCATATTAACGGATTGGCGAAGAGACTTAGTTCTGCAGCCTACGCGGTTAAAAAAATTCGCTCACTAACTGATGTCGATACAGCTAGACTTGTTTATTTTAGTTACTTTCATAGCTTAATGACTTATGGCTTATTATTATGGGGTCATGCTGCTGATGTCGAAACTATTTTCATCCTGCAGAAGAGGGCTATTCGTGCAATCTATAATTTAAAATGTAGGGAATCTCTTAGAGATAAATTCAAGGAAATTAATATACTTACCTTTCCCTCGCAATATATTTATGAAAATATTATGTATGTATACAAAAATAGTGATAAGTTTACTAGAATAGAACATACGCACAATGTTAATACACGGAACAAACGCAGGCTGCAATTTCCCCCGTACTAGACTATCTAAAGTTAGTAATTCTTTTTTGGGGAAAGGGATACTCTTCTTTAATAAAATCCCAGAGGCTCTTTTATCACTGCCTTTCAATAAATTTAAGAAATGTATTAAAGAAAAGCTGTGTAAAAAGGCTTACTATAAAGTCAACGATTATCTAGTTGATAAAAGGGCCTGGGACTAGTGCTAGACAGGCTACTTCTAATTAATTTGCGATATTTGTTTTAAATAAGTGTTGTTTGATGATTTGCTGTTTTAAAAGAGTACCGAGAGTTTTTTACGCCGGCTTTTTCTCTCGGCCTACACCCTCTGTCTTCTTTGCCGATGAGTAGGGATGCCTTCAAATTTAATGACGTGGAATAAGTGATACATGTATCTTATGTTCCATAATAAACATATTTTATTTTTATTTATTTTTTTAATTTTTTTTTAATTCATTCTTTATAAAGCAACAACCATTCTCTATTACCAAGAAATATTTTCATATTTAGACATCGACAACATACTTAAGTGTAATTGTTTTTACAATCAGCTTACAAAACTACCCGGTACAAAATTAACCTATTGATATTAATAATATTAGAAATTATTGTAATTGGTTAGATTTGGTAGTTTATTATATTCCTTCTGTAGACCGAAGACACTCTATAACGAAAAAAAAATGTGAGCCGTCACGAGACGCCTGGCAGATGTGAAACATCGACATTATTTTGTAAAAATAATATGCAGAAAAGAACAGATAGGAACTAAATATGTCATAATGATAAAATAAAATATTACGATTTTTTCCAGATAACGATGACTTTTTATTGAATAAACATTTATTTTTATTAAATACAAGAAATTACGAATTTATTACAAATCGTGACTACTTAATTCGTTTAATCAGTGACTTCAAAATACACACACCGTACCCACTAGGTACTGCATATAGACTATATATATACCATCATATAGGTATGCCGTGGCGACGCGTCGCCACGCCAGAAATCGGTTTAACGTGCGGCTATAGATGTTTCACATCAAAAAAATACTCGGTCCCTTGAAATTTGGTATAAAGAGTTTACAGTTACACTGTATTTCCTAAACCAACTCTTATTCATCAGTTAGCATGATTTTGAACCATCGAGTATCGCGTAAACGGTCGGATAGTTTTTGTCTATAACGTAAAAAATAACGCACGATAAAAACATAACAAACAAACAAACGATAATATTGAATACTAACACAGGGCTCCGTTTTGTGTGACAGGATCTCGTTCCATTTTCGTTCTTGGCGATGTTGACTTGTGAGTCAGCGGTTGCCGCCATGGCAGCGGACTCAAAAAGTGTTTCCCTGTAATACTTGAAGCCTTCATATAGCACGCCCGCCACGAAAATGGCAACGGCAGAGCCGAATATCTCCAGCGCGTTGGATGTCTTCCATCCTTTGAAAAGAATTTCTTGGACGACTCCCGCATGGAACTGGAAATCAGAGGTAATATGTTAAAAAGTGTCCTGTGTTGGAACTGACTTTTACTTATTAATGAATGGGGTACGACTTTAACATGCCAAGCGTGGCCGCCCGTTTCATTTTTTTTAAATAACCCTCTGCTCTGAATATTATATTTATAGACTACTTTAAGTATAGGTACTTGTTATACGCAAATTTAAATATAGAGGAAAACAAAAACTGTTGTGTGTAGACCTTTTCAAATTTTTTATTAGGTACAGACGTAGCAGGTCGACTACTTTTAAAGAAAAGTCCCTCTGTTTCTCTGCAGCTTTACAATCGACGCGACTTTATGATTTTGTTTGAGACTTAATTAAATATGAGAAATTTAACCACCATCTTACCTGTAGTTTACTTAAAAATACATATAGTTTGATTTTAACTCAAGGGCAGAGTATAAAGTGTGTCAATAGCGCAGTAAGGCACTTGGGCATTAATACCATTAGCACGTGATGAATGCGAATGTTTGGTGTACACCCGATTGTGTATAAAGAACTATTTGGACTAACTTTATCATACATACGAACATAATTCGGTATTAATTCTTAACATACCTGTTGTTTTGCTCGATATATGTATTTTCGTTATTTATTAATTGTAGACAAAATATTTGTGTAGTTCATAACGTAAGTTTTTCTAGTAAAAAAAAATATTATTTATTTATCAAAGTCTGTTCTATCGGTGTGGTGGTCGTCACGAACATTCCTCGATACTTACATTTCCTCTGCAGACCGCAGTGGTGGTTTGACACGATTGCACGGACCGATAACGCTCGTAATGATAAGAGAAAAACGATTCTATTTTATATTCCGGTCAAGTGTCAAATCTGTTACATGGCCTAACTTATCTCAACTGCACGTAATTTCTTTGTTAAATATTTCTATGAAGTCTGGCGAACTGCATTTCGAGTTTTAAATGACGAGGTCAAAGTGTTTTTTAAACATAAACTTACCACCATCATCATACCACAGCCTCCTTCCATTGTCGAGTCCATTGCTGAAAAAAAATTGTCTTTAGAAAATCATGTAGAAAATTCTCTACGTCACACGAATGACGCTTTAGTAAAAGTATTTAATATTTTACATAGTATGTAGATATGTGTGGTTTCCCTGCCTAGACCACGATAAATATTAAGGTGACATTGTTACACAAACACAGTGAGTCACAGAGTATTTAAGTAGGTGCAACTAGTATTGTTCACGTAGGCTATTGTTGTTTAATTGGCGGTACATAGGTTTGTTTACCACTTGGCAGTTGACAAATTCAAACACTAGAACGAATATCTAGCAAAATCACTGTTAATTTGAATTATACCAATTTTACACAAAAAAGCGAAGAAGGAAACCCAATAGGACTTAGGACTGCGATGTACATGCTTTATTTCCTGTGTGGTTTGTTTTCCGGTATTACAGATATAAGTTAATATCTTATGCACTATAATAATAACAATAACAACTTAGTTTTTTACAAAAACACGAATTATACATATACATATATCATTTCAATTACTGACAATGACGTAGCTGGACTACTTAAAGTGGGACAACAAATATATGTGATGGGTGTCTTTCCACATTTAGGAAATGTTAATCGTATGATATAGTGAGTTTGTTAGTAAGACCCAAGGCAATATCTATATATAAAGCTTCGGTAACATAGGATTGTGCAAGGTGCGCTTTCACCTCGCAGGGACACGTTGCGTAATGCATCTGGTGCAATCAAGATTCCATCGCTAGCTCCTACTATAAGAAATATTTTCTATTTTTAATCATTCTTGTTTATTTTCCTATTTTCTTTTGACTATAATAATTGGCCGTTAATTATAAATCTACAGTATATACATATATTTAGCTATTAGGTACACAATTTCAGTGCGATTGTTTTTCTATCGATAGTATTTTTTTAACACTGTAGAGCACGATTGTATAGCTGTATTTTGTTCCATCTAAAGCAAAAACGATTGTCTTATCATGTACAATATCTATCGTATCTAACTACAATAATTAGGTAGGTTTACCGACGTGTTAATTAGGAGTTTGATTAATTCAGATAAAATATGTGTGAATGCAGACATTGTTAATGACGTTATTTTTATTGAAATATGAATGAATTAGGAACCAAGGGCGTCGCTATCGGGTAGGGGCAGCTGCCCGCCTTTAGAGAATCGAAAAAAACCTTGTTTTTATTATTAATTTGTCAAAATATTCTTTAATTGCGTAATATATCGTATACGAACGTGTTTTGTACGTTACGGCTTAATAACAAGTTAACTAAATAGTCCTTATCAAGCAATAAAAAATTATTAAATTTGTCGTACCTACTTGTGTTATACGTTGTGTAATAACTTCGTCAGCAAACACGTAGAGTGACATGAGATTGCCGAGCCATACTCGATATTTTGTAAGATTACAAAATAAAGTGGTGCGTTTACACTTATTTGTCTATGTATAGCAGTTTATTTTATATTTGAAGTGTAAGGATGAAGTTATTTGAGGTCAAATTAATATTTACAATTGCAGTTTTTGTGAAGAAACACGTGCAGGAATTTATTTTTCTATGTTGTATCTTCGCGTAGTAATTTGTGCATTACATAGCGCGAGATTTTTTATTTTCCGACAGGTGACTCATATTATATCCCAATATATATTAAAACTGTATGGCGTAATGGCTATTGTATAATATGTAGGAAATAGAAGGTTATTACGCGTTTAACTTGATAAACACTAATAATGCACCCGTCTAAATAACTTTTCAACTAAATGTTGTGTGATAACTTTTTCAAGTTTTTGGATATTTTTGTATGACTAGGTCAACAAAGTCCAAAACAAATGTACCTAAGTATATCTTGATTTAATATATGTATCACCAGAATCATGTCAAATTAAAACTTTGCTAACTAATAGGCCATCTTTTCCTTCAGTTGATCAAAGGTTGTTCATTACAAAAAATATATTTTTGATTAGAATGATTGTGAGAATGATCAATGTTTAATTATCACAAACAGTAGTAGACTAGTAGTATCTAATAAGTTTAGTGAATGATGATAAAAAAGGGAATTTAATTAATTCCCTATATTATGTTGTATATATATTATATTATATTCTCTGGCTATTTTGGAGCAATAAACAATAACCCATAGGCTTCTGTGAGGCGATGAAGGTTATCGAGATCGTAATAAACACAACACAATGAATACACAGGTGGTTTTTTTTTTTTTTTGAATTAAGTTATTCAGGGAAAGCCATGAGAGTGGCGCTTTCGGAATACGCCTTCTCTCATAGCTTTTATTGTTTTATTTAGTTGTTCATATTGAGTTGTTATAAAGGTCGTTATAATTATTTACGTCATGCCCTCTCCTGTTATTTTCATTATGTATTTTTTTTTTTTTTTTTGTATTTATTTATTTATTTCTTTTTTTTTGGAGAGGGAGGAATTCTTAAAAGCTAGGATAATATTTCGAAAGAATGCTTAGGATAAATTGTACATAGTAAAATTTATAAAAGTAAAACTAAAGAAAACATGATTATAACATAGTTACATGGAATAAATTGGCCAAAAGCGAAAACAATACACTATTTTATACAATTGAGTTAAGATGCTATTGTACAATCAAAATAAAAAATAAAAGTAAAGAACAATTAGACAATTAAAACTGGGAGATAATTAGAGACAATGCATAGTATAATTGTACAAAATAAAATTAATAAATTAAAACTAAATTATATTATGATTACATAGAATAAATTGTTTAGAGGTAGAACAATACAGCATTTTATGCAATTGAATTGAGATGCTATTATAAAATCGAAATAAAAAGTAAAGATCAATTAACAATTAAAACTAGGAGATATTTAGAAAGAATGCTTAGGATAAAATGTACAAAGTAAAATTAATAAATTAAAACTAAAGAACTAAAGAAACATAGTTATCATATTATGATTACATAGAATAAATTGGCCACAGGTAGATTTTCAGTTACAGTGGGTGTTCAACTTGCAAAGAAGGCTAAGTTGAATTGAAACCCTTGAGTTGTTTAATGATATAGCTAACTAATTTATTTAGTTGTTCAAGTGCCTCAGGGAAATTGATAATTTTGGTGAGGATGAGGGGGTCTAGAGGGTCAAGCCCGTAGTTGGAGCATACTATGTAGTAGTCCAGACGATCGGGCTGGAAACGGGGACAGTGATGAAGGAGGTGGGTGAACGTTTGGGGTTCGGCGTTGTTACAAGGGCAGTGGTCATCTGGGGTAATGTGAAAGCGATGTAAGTATGATTTGTGGAAGGCATGGTTAGTGAGAAATTGTGTAATAGGGAAAGTAAGTTTGGTGGCTTCTAAGAAGTTGGTAATGTCATTGTAGGTGGGAAGGAGTAGCTTAGTGTAGGTGGAACCGGGAGTGTTGTCATAATAGTTGTGGCATGAAGCGCTCAGTAGTTTTTTATGGTGGAGTTTGATGAAGGACATAGGGGTGAATGAGAAGTCGGGTTGTTTACGCAGAGTGGCAGCGGCTTTGGCGGCGACGTCTGCCAACTCGTTCCCAGGGATGCCAATATGGGCTTTGACCCACGTAAATTTGATATTTATGTTTTGGGTCTTAGCAAGGTGTAGGGAGCGGAATATGCTGACGGCTATTTTATTATGGCTATAAGGATTGGAGAGTTCAAGGAGTGCGGACTTACTGTCAGAGTGAATAGTGATTTGGGAAGGGTGATTTTTACCATTTATGATCCATTGACACACTTTGTCGATGGCAATCATTTCGGCCTGGAAGACGGAGCATGTGGAGTGTAATTTAAATTTCTTAGTCAAAGGGGTACCGTTAGGGTCTATGGCGACAAAGGCGGCTCCTACAACATCGTCATGTCGACTGCCGTCGGTGAAAACTTGCCACGAGTCAGGGCCCTGATGGTTTTCGTAGTCCTGTACGGAGTTGAGTTCCGTAAAGGTAATAGGTGACCTGTCGGAAGGGTGAAGCAAAGTGGATGGATGTGACGGAGTTTCAAGTGGGATGTCCGAGGGTAGGAGTGTTGTGGTGCCGTTAAGTCTTGAGCTTTCGATTTCTGATACGGCTTTTATTTTGTCGGGGAGGGGGATGAGTCGGGCAAGGGCTATGGATGTGTGGGTACTGTTGGTGCGGAATCCATGGATAATTTTAATTGCAAAAAGACGTTGTAGTGAGAGAAGGGATTTGTTGACGTATTTGTATTTAAGGGCGCCTGACCAGATGCTTGCGGCGTATGTGACGATGGGTGTCACGACCTGTTCATAAATGATTCTGATGTTGTCTGTATGAATACCCCAAGTGGGCCTGGTGAATAGTAGGAGTTTATAGAAAGTGTTTTTTGGCTTTGTTTGTGATGTAAGTGACATGTTTGGTGAATTTAAGTTGGTTGTCAATAATAACTCCTAGGTATTTAAACTCGTTGGTGAATTGTAGCTGTGTGTTGTCCATTTGTGCCTTGATTTGGGTGGATTTTTTTAGTGAAGCCGGTGATGGTGGTCTTCTCGGGTCCGAATCTTAGTTTGACACTTTTGCCCCACTCGCTGATTTTGTGGAGATTTTGATTGACGCATTCTTCCAGTTTAGGAAGGTCGGGGGAGTGTATGATAAGAAATATGTCATCAGCGTATGCCTGGATGTGGCAGTTGGATGTGAGGTCAAGGTCAAGGAGTTCATCGATGACGAGGTTCCACATTGTCGGTCCGCAGACAGAGCCTTGGATACAACCACGAGTCATCTCCTTACTAATGGTGGAGTCTGAGAAGTTGATTTCAACAGTCCTATTGTAAAAGTAGCTTTGCAGGATATTATATAGGTTGGAGGGACATTTGTACTTACGGAGTCGGAGTAGGATGGCAGGCCACCAGGCGTTATCGAAAGCGGCTTTGATGTCGAGCGAGACTGCGACAACATGTTCTCCAGCAGCCTTCATCCGACGGACTTTGTCAAGAGCGGTTTGTATGGCTTTAGTTGTAGAGGTTTGTTGTTTGAAACCG